ACATTCCTATTGCTGTAATAAGTGAAAACAAGAGATGCCATTATTCATTTCTACAGTTACACAACATATAGCATTTTCTAAACTCAAACTTAGGACCAAGAGCATTTTCCAAAATTTTTTTTATTTGCAAACATCTCTGTTTTGCAGAATTCACTTACTTTGCAACTAAAACATTTACAGCCTAAATCTTTTTTTTTGGTTGGTTTGTTTCTTTTAAGACACCTTTTTTTTTTTTTGGTGGGGGTTGTGTGGCACAGTGTTCTGGTGGCTAAGGTCCTCTCCTTGCACATGCCAGGATCCCATATGGTCACCAGTTCTAATCGCAGTGGCCTTACTTCCCATCCAGTTCCCTCTTTCTGGCCTGTGGGATCCTGCACCCACATGGGGGACCCGAAGTAGGTTCCTGAGGTTCCTGGCTTTGGATCGGCTGAGCTCTGGCTGTTGTGGCTGCTTGAGGAGTGAATCATCAGAGAGAAGATCTTCCTCTCGGTCTCTCCTCCTCTCTGTATATCTGACTGCAATTTTTAAAAATCTATATATTACATATTAATATATATGTTCTTTATATTGAAAATTTTATATGGAGGATGATGCCGGCCCAGGTTCCCAATGCTTTAGGCCACCCCTTGCTGTACCTCTAGGCAGTTGCAAGGCAGTGAAGCAGCTGGGACAGAAACTGGCACCTGTATGGAATACTGGTGCTGGACATGTAGGACCAGACTGCTGAGTCATCATGCTGGGCCCACTGCCTAACAAATGAAAAAACTAAATGTGGATATTTTAAGATCAACATTTACCAATACATATTTGCTATGAAGCTAAAAAAAAAAAAACAAACAAAAAAAACAACTCTTAATTTCTTACTAGGCAAATACCATTCTCACAAAACACCGAATTCTTACATTTGCAGGCTTATATATATATTTTTTAAAGATTTATTATTATTATTATTATTTTGTTATTGGAAAGGCAGATATACAGAGAGGAGAGACAGAGAGGAAGATCTTCCGTCCAATGATTCACTCCCCAAGTGAGCGCAATGGGCAGATACTATGCCAATCCGAAGCCAGGAGCCTCTTCCGGGTCTCCCACGCGGGTGCAGGTTCCCAAAGCTTTGGGCCGTCCTCGACTACTTTCCCAGGCCACAGGCAGGGAGCTGGAAGGGAAGTGGAGCTGCCGGGATTAGAACCGGAGCCCATATGGGATCCCGGGGCATGCAAGGCGAGGACCCCAACCACTTGCGTCACCGCGCCGGGCCCGCAGGTTATATTTTTAAGAAAATACACCCTACTATAGTTTTTAGTGTCTTAACTTTACTAATAAAATACTATAGAAATGTTTTCTTTCAGAGAACAAAGTATTTTACCTACATTTGAGTAACCTATCATTGAGTGACTGGTACAACTTGCAACTTGAATAGAGTTGAAACTTGGACATGGTTAACAAAAAGAATATTATCGATTACTTCTCTGATTTAGCTTACAAGACACAAATAACAGAAAAATTCTGTAAATTTATAAAGTAAAAATCCAGAACTCTGAGAAACATCAGAGTAAGTTCTAAAGAGGTTACAATACAAATGTAGTACAGTCTGATCAATAACACTGCCAAAAACTTTAAAAAAACAAAACAACAACAAAAAACAAGCAAACATTAAAATAAACAAAAATTTTAAAACACACTGGCACAAAGACAGGAAGGAAGATCAATGGAATAGAATAGAAGCACCAAAAGGGAACCCACACAGATACAGCCAATTAATCTTTGACAAAAAGACCAATGACAGCTAAAGCAAGTGTGAAGGCCTCTTTAGTAAATGTTGTTGGGACAACTGGCTGATAGCCTGTAGAAACAAAAAGATACACACACATCTATCACCATACACTAAGATCCAATCTACATGGATAAAAGACCTAAACCTACATCCAGAAACCTTCAGACTCTTGCAAGAAAATGTAGGAAATACCCTGCAAGACCTAGGAGTAGGTCCCGACTTTCTAAGAAGGACACCAAAAGCAATAGGTGTTGAGAACAGAATAAACAAATGGGACCTCATCAAACTAAGAAGCTTCTGCACAGCAAGGGAAACAACCAGCAAAGTAAAAAAGCAACCCACAGAATGGGAGATGATCTTTGCACACTATATAGCCGATAGGGGGCTAATTTCCAGGATATACAAAGAACTTCAAAACAACCAAAAAACCAAAACAAACAAGCCACTCAAGAAATGGGACCTGGGAAATGGGCAAACATTTCACAAAGGAACAAGTCCAAATGGCAAACAAACATATGAAAAAATGTTCCAGCTCCCTAGCAATAAGGGAAATCCAAATTAAAACATCGATGAGGTACCACCTAACACCAGTTAGATTGGCCCACATAAACAAGAACACCAACGGCATTTGTTGGCGAGGATGCGGGGAAAAGGGAACCCTACTCCACTGCTGGTGGAGCTGCAAATTGGTACAGCCTTTATGGAAATCAGTCTGAAGAACACTCAAACAACTCAAAATCTGCATACCATATGACCCAGCAATAGCACTCCTAGGAATACATCCAAAACACCTGTTTTACGACAAACCAACATGCATCCCTATGTTCATTGCAGCACAATCAGTAATTGCAAAAACATGGAAGCAACCGAAATGCCCATCAGCAGAAGATTGGATAAGAAATCTTTGGTTCATCTACTCCATGGAATACTACTCAGCTATTAAAAAAAACAAAATGCAGTTCTTTGTGGCTAAATGGGACCAACTGGAAACTATAATGCTAAGGGAAATGAGCGAATCCCAAAAGGTTAGATACCACGTTTGCCTTGATTTAACTTGTAATTTTTTGTTTGGTTGTTGGTTATTTTTTTGAACCTGTCATTGATACTGTCTCAACCCAGATGTTTCGAAGAATGGAACTTGCATTATTTTTAACATATTGTTTACCCAATACTATGTCAATTAATTCCATAATGTTGTATATTGATACTGAGGTTTTGTTGGGGCTTTTAACTGACCGGATCTTTACTCTGTTAGCCCTATCTTCAGACCAGAGAAGGTCTCCCCAAGAGGCCACTGAACTTATCTGGACAATAAGACGCTGGACTTTATGCTAGGTATGTGTTTGCAAGGAATGAATCTCAACTGAACTTGAACTGTGGTTATGCATCAAGGTGGAGGAATCCACCATGGGGGGAGGGATATGGGAGAGGTGGGGGGAATCCCCAGTGCCTATAAAACTGTACCACATAATACAATGTAAGCAACAATAAAAAAAAACACACACAGACAATCAACCCTAAATGGATATCAGTTCTAGGACTATCTTCTTCACTTCAGATCCAGCTTCCTGCTAACGTATCTAGGAAAGAAATAGAGTGGCTCAAGTACTTGGGTACATGCTCCCAGAAAAGAGACTTGGAAAAAACTTCCAGCTTTGGCCTAGATCATACTGTCCTATCTGTTACAACTATTTGCGGAGTATACTATTGATCAAAGATCCTTCTCTTCACATCAATCCATATAATCTGCCTTTCAGATAACAATAATGAAAAAATAATGAAAATCTTGTTTTCTTTATATCTATTTTTTGGTAAGATGTGGCTCAGAAGATGAGGAGTTGTTTATGGAAGTCCCCGAATAATTAGCACCAGAAGATCTACAACAGAAAATCAACAGGTCCCAGACATAAACTTTGTTAAAAGAAAACAACCAAGCTGGAGTAGGAGAAGAACACATAAAAAAGAATAAAATACAAGCATCTGACCAGGTAAAAACTATAGTAAGATGCTACTGATGCATGCGAGAAGACTTAGTAGTACTGCAGAAATCAAGCATGTGGAATGGGAAACTTAAAAAAAATTTTAAAACTTAAATTTTTTAAAAACTTAAAAAAATTTAATAGGGCCTGATGTCGTGGCCTAGTGGCTAAAGTCTTCACTTTGAATGCTCCAGGATCCCATGTCGGCATCGGTTCTAAACCCAAGGCTTCCCTTCCAGCTCCCTGCCTGTGGCCTGGGAAAGCAGTCGAGGACAGCCCAAAGCCTTGGGACCCTGCACCCGTGTGGGAGACCTGGAAGAGGCTGCTGGCTCCTGGCTTTGGAACAGCTCAGCTCTGGCTGTTGTGATCACTTGGGAAGTGAATCATCAGACAGAAGACCTTCCTCTCCTCTCCTCCTCTCTGTATATCTGACTTTGTAATAAAAATAAATAAATCTTTTTAAAAATTTAATATATTCAGATGTAATTCAGATCAGAATGCATTCAGTCTTAAAAATATGAAAAGTGATTAGCAATAGAACTGAAAATTAAAACTGACCAGGATGAGTCTGCAATTTACACATTTTCATCTATAAACAATGTAGCACACACAAAATGGCATATCCAGTAATAAAAAATAAGCATACAAGGTGGATCTTCTTTCAAATAGAAAAGCAAGAGGAAGCTAGATGTGACAAGCAACTGCCTTATAACTATTTACATTTATTCATTTAAATAACTTACACATATATTTATGTATATATATGTATTTGTTTTTCTCTTCCATGGAGAATTTTTCATCAGCAATATTCTGAAAGGACAGAGAATTCCAAAAGGGTTTTTTGGTTCAAAAACAGAATGTTTAAAGAATTTTGCTGGGCCCGGCGCGGTGGCGCAGTGGTTAAGGTCCTCGCATTGCACGCCCGGGATCCCATATGGGCCCCGGTTCTATCCCAGCAGCCCCGCTTCCCTTCCAGCTCCCTGCCTGTGGCCCGGGAAGGCAGTCGAGGACGGCCCAAAGCTTTGGGACCCTGCACCCGCGTGGGAGACCCGGAAGAGGCTCCTGGCTTCGGATTGGCATAGCATCGGCTGTTGTGCTCACTTGGGAAGTGAATCATTGGATGGAAGATCTTCCTCTCTGTCTCTCCTCTCTGTATATCCACCTTTCCAACTAAAAAAATAATAAAAATAATAAAAAAAAGAATTTTGCTCAAGTAAGTTATGGGAGCAGATGAATAATTGTCTTACCTGGTGGCATAAGTTCCATAAGCAGTCTTGCTTCATCTCTAAGAGGCGGCATATTTAGGCTGCTACCTAAATCTGCAAGTTGCCAAAGGAAACAGATATATCTTGGATGCAGTGACATTATCTGGAATATAGAACGTAGAAAACATTTACCTGTAAATTACCTTCAAAAAAGCATTGTTATAATTAAACTTCCATCTTGTGTTTACTAACTGACTGAGCCTGTGATAAAACAGACTGGTTAGGTCTGGGAGTGAAAAGGCCAAAGCTAGAGTCAGCAACTAAACTCCAGCTCTTCCACAGAGATGACAGGAATCTAGTTACTTAAGTTACCATTTGCTGTTTCCTAGTTTTCCAGTGGCTAGTTTTCCAGGTACTGACACAGATGCAGCCATCTGGAGTGCTGTGGCCAGTTAATCCAATTCAGGTCAATACATAATTGCATAGTTACCAGACATTCTGTCTTATCTCAAAAATTGTGTCACAGGAAAAAGCAATCATTTCTTTTTGTTGTTGTTGTTGCTAAAGATTTATTAATTCTTATTGAAAAGTCAGAAACACAGAGAAGAAGATCTGTTCATTGGTTAACTCCCCAAGTAGCTGCAATGGCTGGAGCTGAGCCAATCCGAAGCTAGGAGCCAAGAGCTCTTCCAGGTCTCCCACACGGGTACAGGGTCCCAAGGCTTTGGGCCATCCTTGACTGCTTTCCCAAGCCACAGGCAGGGAGCTGGATGGGAAGCAGATGTGTGAACCAGCACCCGTAGGGATCCTGGGCGTGTGTGCAAGGCGAAGACCTTATCTACTAGGCCACGACAACAGGTCCCAGAAACAATAATTTCATCATATTCTTAAGGATTATAAAGCTAGAACAAAGAAGTTACTTACAACACCAGGCAAACAACTTTCTACTCCTGAACCGTGACCATCAGTGCTCTGATTACAATGGTTTTCAGGGGATCCAGATGATGAATCAGAAGAGCTATATGGACTTGAAGATATGTTTGAATTTTTTTGTGTAAGCCTGGCTGTTATTAGCTGAAAATGATGATTTTGGCAGTAAAGAAAAGGAAAAACACTTGTTCAAAATACAGAAACAAGACATAGCAAAAGTTTAAAATACTTTACCTCCAGAATTACTGTCTAACATAATCATTTGGTGTTTTCTTAAGGACACGCGGGAAAACTGTTTCAGGAAACTCTTCAGACAGTTAAATTTGCATGAATGACATAGTTGCTTACATAAAATTGTTTAGTAGATTTTACAGAAAATCATGTATACTTCAAGTCATATGTAGATTGTCTATAATATCTAATATATTGTCCTACATAACCAGTTGTTAAACTGTTGTGGTGAAGGAATTATGAGAGAAAAAAAGGCTCAATAGGAACACAAGTTTTCTACTATTGACTCTAGTTGGTTGATTCTGAGGAATAAAATTAAAGTGTATTTCCTATGCTGTATTTAAAGTTCTAATAAAGCACGTTACTGCAATTCTAATAATTCAAATCTAACACAGAAGATCATAACAGATAATACAAAATAGCTGACTCAGTGAAAATTCTAAATATTTGAAAATTCTGTGTACTCACAGATTTGTCTTTCAAATTTAATTGTTCAATTGGCTTTCTGTCATCTTCAGAACCTATCAATTCACCACCCACAAAAAGTTCAACTTTTGTATGGGCTACATTGGCTTTAACACGGTTAAGAATACAATGACGAATTGAACCAATTGTATCATTTGTATGAGATAATATGTTCAAGTCATCAACTTGTCTGCCCTGATTTGTAAATCGAACTCTAAGAGACAGGTGTTTGCCGCGGAAGGATCTGAAAAAGAAAGAAAAAGAAAACGAAAAGACTGAAAAAAGTTAAATCACATTAAGCACGTTAACAAAATAATGTTGGAAATAAATATTTTGTAACTAAAGTTCAATAATTTAAAAATGCGGTTTGCTTTTATGCTCTTGAGGGAAACATTATGCATCTTTTAAACAGCAGCACTGTAATTTATACAAAATGCAATAGATCATATTGATGTGGTATCTTTATGAACAAAAGTCTTCTATCTACATAAAATCTCACAATGCATGAATGAGTGAATAATTTTGTTGCTTAAATGTTTGTTTTTTGAAAGAGAGAGAAAGTAAGACAAAGGACCAAAAAGAGAGGGTGCTTCCATTCACTGGGTCACTTTGCAGATATCTGCAAAGGTTGTTAGGCCATGCCAGAGCAAGGAGATTCATGGGTGCAGAGTTCTAAACACTCAGACAACATTCTGCTAGTTTTATCAAGCCAATTCAGGAAGACATATGAAAAATGTAGCAAACAAGACACGAAATTGTACACTGAATGGTGTACCAACAATGAAAGTGGCAGCTTGGGCCCAGCGCGGTGGCCTAACGGCTAAAGATCTTGCTTTGAACGCCGGGATCCCATATGGGCTGGTTCTAGTCCTGGCAACAGCACTTCCCATCCAGCTCCCTGCCTGTGGCCCAGGAAAGCAGTCAAGGACGGCCCAAGGCTTTGGGACCCTGCACCCACGTGGGAGACCTGGCTCCTGGTTCCTGGCTCCTGGATCCTGGCTCCTGGCTTTCAGCTCAGCACAGCTGCGGCCATTGTAGTGACTTGGGGATTGAATTTTCAGACGGAAAATCTTTCTCCCTGTCTCTCCTCCTCTCTCTGTATATCTGACTTTCAAATAAATAAAGAAAGAAATCTGAAAAAAAAAATTGGCAGCTTTATTCATTATGCTACAATGCCAGTTCCTTTTCAGTTAACTTAAAAAACTGATCTGTTACAAAAAAAATACAATGGAGTCATTACTAAGTGCTACTGTCTCAGGCACAACAGCAGGTAACCAGATTGGAAGCAGAGAAACTGGGACCTGAACCAGCAAACAAGGTATGGTGACACTGAAGGTATGTGGTGTAACCTACAGAGCCACAATGCTGATCCCAAGAATCTATTAGTAACAATATAAATATATCACACATCAAGATGAAAAAGAAGACATAACAAAAGGTTGAATTGCCTCAAGAAATGCTGACATCCCATTATAGGATAACAACAACAAAAACTACTCTGCTTCTGAATCTGGTTCTTGTCAATGAGCCTGGGAAAACACTGAATAACTTGAAGCCTGATATCTATTTAGGAGAAAACAATAGAGTCTCCTTCCTTTAGGTTCATCCAAATTTCATCCAAATTTCACAGCTGACCAATTTTGGGAGGTCAACTGAGGGACAAATATCTCTCTCTCTGTTTCTGTCACTGGGCCTTTCAGTACATAAATCTTAAAATAAAACAAAGGAAAATCCAAAACCTATGTGAAAAAATTTAGCAATGGTGGTAACAATTTTGAAAAATCAAAGATAAAACTACAACTAAAAAGTAGGAATATTACTGGAACATAAACTGTTGTGTCATTGATTGCGTAGTTTCTAACAGATGTATGTTTTCAAAGGGCACAACATCAAAATCTACAAATAAAAATAATTTTTTCTCATTTAAATCTGTATGTTTTCAAATAACTAAAAAATTAAAGTTTAGGGCCTGTCTTACTAACCTAGTAAAGTCCTTGCCTTGCATGTGCCAGAATCCAATACCTATCCTCACAGTCCCACTTCCCATCCAGCTCCCTGCTTGTCCCCGGGAAAGCAGTTAAGGACAGCCCAAAGCCTTGGGACCCTGTATCCATACGGAAGACCCAAAAGTAGTTCCTGGGTCCTCACCTGGATTGTGTCAGATCTGACCTTTGCGGCCACTGGAGAAGTGAATCAGTAACAAAAAAATCTTTCTATCACACCTTCACTCTGTAAATTAGGCTTTCCAAAATTAATTAATTAAATAAATAAATAAACCTTAAAAAATCTGAACTTTAGATATTTTTTGCAAACCTGGACATGGGTAAAATCATTCTTTCTTCATGATAATCACTATCACATTCATTTATGTACTCCCTCAGAACAGTTAGCACTCGGACCATTCGGATGACTTCTTGTCTCACACAACTAATATTGTTGTTTTCGCTATCCAAGATATACAATGTGTCATATGATGCTTTCAGACGATCAAAGCAAGACTGAATAAAGTCTTCATGGATAACCACCTAGACAAAAGGTTAAATAAACAGAGTTAAAGTGATTATAAATTTAACAGTCAAATATGCCACTAAACCAATATAGGAAACAAAATTTTAATTTAAAGTAATTCAACTATAATGAGAATAATAAAGTTTTATGAAATAAAAAGAAAAATAAAACAAATCTGACAAGAAGAAGATATGTAAGTATAAATTGATTATATTTTAGTGGATGGATATAGCATTTAATTCAAAATTTTAAAAAAATCTCAACACTGAATTCAAAGTAATCTTATGTATATTGTACCTATTGTTACTTTATCTGGGAAATATAAAATTTTACTTTAAATGTGCAGGAGTTAAAATTTAAGAGTTTTTGCATGTAATCTCAAATGTGTGTTGGATTTGGAAATTTTAAATTTTTGTTGGAGAAAATTAAGAATGGACTTCAGCAAATGGACTGAATTAATGTTTCAGAAGAGGATGTAAGATCCAGGGATCCAGGAGCAACATGCTATAGACTGTACAGCACTTGACTCCCCAAACTCAAGAAAACCTCCCAACCTCAAAGTTTCACGTTAGCTGGTTAACTGGGAACACTAAAGATTGACATAAAAAAATGAGACATGCTTCAAATATGGTATCTCTAATTGGGACCTTTATTAGGTTGCTGGAGTCTATGACCAAATTCTGATGACATTTTCTGAAGAGACAATACATAAAAGGAAGAATGCTTCCAGTTTCCTGGCTTATTATGTGATTATTCCTTTGCACAAATTGCACCATTGCTAGCCTCCACAATTACCAATATTGGACTACAGATCTCTGAAGCATTTGCTGAAATACACTTGCTTCCCACCAAATTGGCTCCCCTAAAAAATTTAGGGTAATGCAATACTAATACAACTCCTAAGTATTTAAGAAAAACTATCAAAGTGCCACTGCCTCGATATTGGAAAAATAACCAGAAAGAAATATTCAGACAAAATGTTTTGAAGAGTTAAATTAAACTCTACTTCATCCTAAATTTCAAAGTTACGATAATCAGCACAATATTACCTGAGCCTAATTTTACACACTTCAATTCTTACCTGATTCATCTGCAGCCTGGGACCAAGGTTTGTATATATCTCTTTAAGAAGATCTATAGCTCTGCTGGCAATATCATCACTACTCTGAATCACAACCTGGTTACAAAAGATTATGTGATTAACACCACTGAACGTAAATTTCAATTTAGCACTCAAATTCAATTTGTATCCTCCACATTTTAAAATTATCTTTTTGAAATTGATCTATCAGGCACCATATAGGAAGATTTAAGCTATTATGAATACATCTGAAATACAAACAGTGCTTGTGCCCTTGACATCCCTTCTAGACGTCAAGGGCACAAACACTTGAGCCATCATCTGCTGTTTCCTCGAAGGATCAGCAGTGTGCAGCAAGGGAAATAGAACTGCTGAGTTTTAAAGAGATGCCCATATCGGATCCTAGTTTCATAGGTAATGGCTTAATCCACTGTTAAATCATGTTGTAATCAAGGAAAAATTATTACATAACCTTTGTTCTCTATGCATTTAATACGTGACAATATATATAGAGGTCAGAGTATTAATTCACAATTTTCTAATAGTATTTTCTTCCATATTTTATTCATTATAACATAAAGGTATAAAAACTAACCATATGAAAGAGACAATAACTTTCACAGAGGAAAGGGAGAAAGATATATATATGTATATATATATATATATATGTATATTTATAAACAGGGTAAACAATGGTTATTATACTTTTATTCATCAGAAATGAGTGTAATTGTGGGAATTAATACAAAGGAACATCAGTGGCAAACAGCAAAAACAAAAAAATTCACCTAAGGCAAACAAAAAGATAACATACACACAAAAATGTTAAGAAAAATAGAAACAACAAACAAGAAACTACAAAGGAAAAGATAATTTCTAGGTCAAGCAAGAATCATATAAACAGAACATTCAGGCAAAAATATGATTCTATGACTATTTAAAAATATTTGTAAACATCAGTATTTGCAAAAAAAAAGTTAGTTCTCACCCGCCAAAGGTAGTCTAATCCTATTAACTCCAAATCATCCATCATATAGACTCTCCTTTTTGCTACTAGCTTCCCTTCTCGATGATTAACTGCTTTGAAGAATCTTTCAAAACACTTCATTCCACTTTCAGTTAACAAGCAAGGATCAAGCTGAAGCACATTACTTTCAAAGAAATCCTTATTAATATCAGGATCTAAGTCAGGTTTATTTCCCATTAACTTGGAATACCATTTAAAACAGGCTTCACGATCACAATGATAAACTGCATTCTCTGCTAAGCACTTCCATATTTGTTTGGCTTGCGGAGCACATAGCCAGAGTTGGCCATCCTTCAATAAGAACCTTGGAAACACGTAAGTCAGTAATTAGGGCCTATATAAATTTATCCTCAAAAGCCAATTATCTTAAATGCATGAAATAAATACTTTACTATATAACTTTAATTTTATTCCTGAAAGTACTAATTCAAAAAGAGCACATTTCTTAACCATCTAACTGGAATTATATGCTATTTTAAAAGCGTAAAGAACTAAATTTTGTCAACAAATTGTTGGTGATGTGACCTAAGTAATGGAGACTTCTTTTTATTATTATTATTATAATTACTATTATTTTGCTTTATTACACAGTTTAATAGGCACTGAGTTTCCACTATCCCAATATCCCTCCACTCCCCACTGATTTCCTCTCTAATTTTACAATGGATAGTGATGAAAACTTCTGTTTTTCAAGACAATAAATCTTTAAAACCATGAACTAAAGTGTCTCTTTATTAACACGGATTCACTAGATAGTGAGAGATAATTGAAGATAACTCAGTTTTTACAAATTAAAACTCCTTGGACATTTCAATATTTAAAAAATTCTTTATTATCCTCTTTCATATTAAATCATCTTAACACAATTCAAACTTACTTCTATGTCAGTAATCATTAGTCTCTTCTGAATATTTATTGATATAGCCTGAGACTTTATAACTTTCTTCCAGAATCCCTCAACCTATTTAATTTACAGCAGTTCTACCTTTCCTTCTTCGTGGTCTTAATTGTAAAGTTCTGTTGTTTCATTTGTAATTGTGCTGTATCTGAAATAACCTAACTATCATTCCTAATTCCTAAGCCCAGTGATATTTATGCAAAGCAAGAGCTACTACTACTTATTTTCAGGAGGTTTGTTCACTTGTTTGAAATGCAGTATTACAAAGAAAACAAAGAGGGAGAAAGAGAGTAAGTTTGTGTATGAGACAGCAAAAGTGAGAAGAAAGAGGAAAGTGAGAAATTTTCCAACTGCTTTTTCAGTTTTCATTTGCTACAGAGGTATCAAGGAGGGGCCAAGCTGAAAATAGGAGCCAAGAGCTTCATTTGGACCTCCTATATGGCTTGTAGGGACCTGAATCTTAGGCCATCTTTAGTTGCTTTCCCATACTTTCTTTTTTCATTTTTAAAAAAGATGTATTTATTTGTATTACAAAGTCAGATATACAGAGAGGAGAGACAGAGAGGAAGATCTTCCGTCCGATGATTCACTCCCCAATTGAGCGCAATGGCCAATGCTATGCCGATCCGAAGCCAGGAGCCTCTTCCGGGTCTCCCACGCGGGTGCAGGGTCCCAAAGCTTTGGGCTGTCCTCGACTGCTTTCCCAGGGTACAAGCAGGGAGCTGGGTGGGAAGCAGGGCCGCAGGTCTAGAACTGGCACCCATATGGGATCCCAGCGGGTTCAAGGAGAGAACTTTAGCCACTAGGCCACACTGCCGGGCCCTCTTTCTCATACATTTTAGCAGAGTAGGATTGAAAGTGGAGCAGCAGGACTTGTACTGATACTACATATGGAATGCTGGTGTCACAGGTAGTGGCTTACTCCACTTTGCTACAACGTTGCCCACTATCAATGCAACTAAATGGAAGAGTTTGAAAGCAAAATATTTTAAGTGCTTGAAACTTTCTTGGTATTATACAATAATGTGACACACATATGAACTGTGTGATTATCAACAAGTTATCCTCAATTTGAACCTCAGTTTTCTTACTAAGTAAATGGAAGGAACTCCTCATTCACGAGTTTGCCAGGATGCTTAAAGTTACTAGAAACAGCCAAATGATACATCAGGCATTCACTCTTAGTGCCTTTTCCTTTTACTAATTACATTGAAAGATCTTCTGTTTCTAAATCTATTAATAAATAAATTCTACTTACTTTCCTGTTACACAATAAGCCTAAGGGACATAGACATATTGGGAAAAGACTTTGTAGAGAGACAGATCTCTTTTTTTATCTAGGTTGTTAAACACAAGTACTAAGATTTTTTAAAGCCAAAACCCTAAAAGCTTTTGTTTTCATTCAAACAAACGAAACACGGTTTTAGCATTTTTCCTTAGTTTGTAACTCAAATTTGTTTTCCAATTGTTTTCCTACAATATGGCCATTGCACTCTCAAGAAATCTCAGAGTTAAAGCAATGCATATTTGTAATACATAACATTTAATTCTAACATTACAGGGAAATAAAATACCACCTTATTTTTCATTTAAATATTTTTTTTACTCAAAAATTTTGTGCGTATGTTGTCTAATATGTTATTATGCATAGCTTCAACAGCAACAACTTTGATGTGCAAGTCATTATCTCTGGCAAAACTAATCAATGTGGTCCCCCAGATGATTATCTCACATTCTGAAGGTCACATGCAAAAAGTTCTTTCCAGTAAACATACTCTAATAACTAAATACTCCATTTTGGACATCAAAACAATGATTACTGTGTGGAAACAAAAAAAACAAAACAGAACAAAACAAAATCAAAATGGAATGGCCACCAAGTACTACTGGTCTTCATTTCTTATTTTTGCCTTAAAAAGAATGACACAAATTGTTTAAAAACAGTTTTAAACTATATAATCAGATTTAAAACAAACCTGAGGAAGTAAAGTCGTTCTTGAACTTCCTGAACATGACTGTATCTATTTCCAAGCCTCACAGTTTGTGGGTCATAGTCTTCATTATCTGGAAATGAAGAAAAGTCAATGTTTTATACACATGCGTAAGAGCATGTTAATTTGAGCCAATGGATATCATAAAATCAATAATAAGTTTCAGTATAACCAGCCAGCAATAAAGGTATCTTCATAAACCTTGTATTTACCACAAAAAATAAGCTATGTATTTTTTACACAGGCAAGACAAATATTATATGAGAATCTTATTGACAGTTTTTTAGAATAACTGCCTTCTACATTATTCACACATTGAAGCAATTTGTAAGTACTGGTTATAATGCTAAGGCTTTTTGGGTTATACTAAATTCTAACATGTATTGTAAGTATTTTAGTATTAAAGAACAGTCTCTGTTATTCATTCATATACTGAGGTGATAAAAACACATTTGGAATTTAAGAAGTCATTAAAAATATCTTCATCCTGGACATGATGGTTGCAAATGTTCATATACTGAAGAAACAATCCAAAACTGACCACCTATTATCAGCATAAGATACACTGATTATAGACAACCATTGAAATCCCTATTTTCAAAAGACTTTTTATTTCAAAGGCACAGTTACAAAGAGAAAAGAGAAAAATCCATCCTACCACTGTTTTATTCCTCCAAAGGTCTCAATGGCTGAAGCATGGCTTGTTCAAACCCAGGAGGCAGGAATCACAAGTTTACTTTAAGTGTCTCAAGTGGTTGCAGGGGCCCTGTCATTTGACCTCTTTTCTGCTTTCTTCTCTACTTTCCCAAGAACATTAGCAGGAGCCCACACTTAAAGTGGAGCAGCTGAGACTTGAAATACTGCTCATATAGCCCAAGCCACATATAGCAGCTTAATGTGCTAGTTAGGACAATGGTTATTCCAGAAAAAGTAGGTTACAGTAATGGGTGATTGGCTTAGCTCTTGTCATTGCAGCCATTTGGTGAGTGGATCAGCAAATGGAGTATCTCTATCTCTATTAAGTCTGTTAAATAAAAAAATGTTTTCTTGGGAAAAAAAATTAAAAATGGAACTTGAAATATAAGGATTTTGATATCACAGAGCCCTGAAATTTCTTCCACAGGCATGGTAATTTTAAGTTAATTTTAACTCATCACACATACCTCTAGCATACAATCTGATGCTATTCATATACTCTGCAAGGTTTTCTGCTACCAAAGTAACTAAAGCATGATCCCGCTGAAGCTGGTTGATTAAATCATGACGATAAGCAATCTGGTGGCTTCGCTGAATTTGACTGTAACAAGAAGAACTTAACAGCATCATTAAGCAACAGGAAAACATTGCAATTGTAAGATCTATTAAGAGGAAATAATAGCTACTAAGTTAAAGATGGAACACACATGTGTAGCAGTGTGGCAAATAGTCTATTACATAACAAAATATTTAGCAGCATAGAGAACAATTTGTGTCTCAAAACAGGCTGTAATATTCTTATTTGTTGTCAAAATCCAAGCATACAAATTCTCCACTTGCAACCAAATCTAAACAAAGATATTATAAGAAATATACGTAATCCTTTTCCCTCTCTTTTTCTTTAATGAAAGAAACTCCTTAGAATTATATTAACCTACTAATGATGAAGTTACCAACCTTAGGAGGGAATATATACATATATATATATGTATGTGTGTGTATATATACATATATGTGTGTGTGTGTGTGTGTGTGGTGTGTATGTGTGTGTTAACAAAAAAGGGATAAATTTCCTAAAAACATACAACATGCATGGTGGAGTCCCCCTGAAATTTCCTAGGTTGCTTAATTTTACTGTCATTAGAAATAAACAATTAAAAGTCACTAAAAAAGTGGAAATGACATCTTAAAGTTGTTTTATAAACATAATTCTCCATAGACCTATATGGACTTTAGAGATGGAAACTTTTCTACAAGTTCACAATATCTATGACTCAGAGAATCTATTATTATAGATGTAACTAAACTTAGATAAATGCAGGGCTTAATTATTAACTTGGAATCTTAACTACATTATAATTTTAATGACAGTAAGTGGTTTCCTCCTTGCTCACCTTCCTTTTGTTATAATTGTAAAAATTTTACACAAGAAAACAATAATTATGTGAGCAATGACAATTTAGCACTAGAGTTAAAATTAAGAAAAATCTAGATAAAGTGTCCAACGTTTTTATAATAAATAAACTGTATGACAGTAGATTGATTTTTTAAAATCTCAGCTAAAAATTTTGAAAAAAAATGTTTCACTTAAGGAGGTGGTAATTGCTACAAAAACACTGAATACAAGGGATTCCAAGATGATGGAATAGGGTGAGAACAGGCTTAAAGAGGGAAGACTTAGTTAAAGTGAAGTACAGAGAGTATGATCCTGGGAAGCAGGAGAGGTCAGGCCACTAGCAGACGGACACCTGTCAACATAGGCAAGCAGCAGAGACAGCAGAGCAATGCTGCCGTAATCAGATAGCGCAATAGCAGTCAGTGATTGGCCATCAGAGCTCCAACAATGGCAGGTGGAAAGAAGCTCTCTGGAGCTCAGGAGGTGAACCCAGGCATAGAATTGCCCATGCTGCAGATTTGCTTGATTGAACCAAGAGCAGAAGCATACTGGCAAAACCCAAGCAGACAGATACAGCAACAGGGCAGATTTCATGAGCCATACCCCTACCAGTGCCACATTAGGTGCCTTTTTATGTACTGAGCTATGAAAGTGCTCAGCCAGAAGATAATTCACTTTTGGCTCAAGCACTGCACTGGTCCCACCAGGAAAACAATACCGATTTGGCATCCCAGGGGTTGCATCCAAAATAGGTCTAGGGTCCGGCAAATACTGGCAAGCTCCATAGGCTCAACAGGTGAGAAGTGGAGTTCAGCAGGAACTCAGATGGACCTAGCTGTAGAACTGTAGGTCCTGCTGACTTAATATGAACACAAGCAGAGCAGAGTGCCAGTCTAAGCAATGAAAACAGGGTGAATTTCATGCCCAGATCCCCACCAATGGCACATCAGGTGCTGTTTTGTGTATTGAGGAAAAGGCTCAAGAGAAGGACAACAGTGAGCTGCACATGTGCTCTGCTAGGAAAGAACTCATTTCCAGCTAAATGCACTCGCACTGGCCCAACAGTAAAACAACACTGACCTAACATCCCATGGATTACATTCAAAATAGGTCCAGGTTGCACCCAGATTTAATTAATAGTAGGTCTGACAAGAAAACAACAACAACAACAAAAAGTCAGGGTGATAAGCCCCTCTGACAGTCCTGTTATGCAGGTTAAAGTTTCAGATGGTGTCTCCCTTAATTCATGGTATTGATGGAACTAAGAACTGGCAAAGGTTGTGCACATAACAGTATGTCCACAGCATACGATCACAGTGGGTAGAGAGTGGTGAGCTGGGTCTGTGCAGATTGTGGTAGAAATATAGCTCGGAACCTCGAGCTCCAGAGGAAGAAGCATAAGCAAGGGCAAAAGAACTGGGTGCTGAAGAGGATCAGTAAACTTATCTTGTAGATCTGCAGACAACACAGCTTAAAAATCTGCCTCAAGGAGAAGAATCTGCTAATTAGGGTTCTGGTGATTAAGGCCAAAAAAAGAAGAGAGAAGAAAAAAAGAGAGAGAGAATGAATGAGCTTACTGATCCCCCCAACAAAGGAAATTAATCCTCATCAACCTCAGAGATAAATGAGGAAGACATCAACGAATCAGGGATAAAGAATTTACTAGATTGTTAGGAAGTTTACTAAAAATAACCAGTATGATCTACAGGTTGCCTATACCAAAAGTGTTACGATCCATATAAAAAGCAGAAAGTTGGAGTCAAGACTACCTAATAGATTATTTCAAAACACATACTCTGGGGCCCGGCACGGTGGCGCAAGTGGTTAAAGGTCCTCGCCTTGCACGCCCAGGATCCCATATGGGCGCCAGTTCTAATCCCGGCAGCCCTGCTTCCCTTCCAGCTCCCTGCCTGTGGCCTGGGAAAGCAGTCGAGGACGGGCCAAGGCTTTGGGACCCTGCACCCGCGTGGGAGACCTGGAAGAGGCTCCTGGCTTCGGATTGGCATAGTACCGACCCGTTGCGCTCACTTGGGGAGTGAATCATCGGACAGAAGATCTTCCTCTCTGTCTCTCCTCTCTGTACACCCGCCTTTCCAATAAAAAAAAATAATAAAAATAAATCTTTAAAAAAAAAAACATACTCTGGTTTCTCTTCAGATCATATAAATGTTTTGCCTTTTATAAAACACAGGGGACAATGAGAGAAAAAGGGAGGAAGCCCTACTCCTCAAAATTTTAAAACAGAAAATAAGAATTAAGAAAAGAAATACTACATAGGAAGTAACAACACTGAAACAAAAACCAAGCTGAATTATTAGAAATGAAGAAAACAATACACAAATTTAAAAACTCAGAGTAAAAGAGGCAGAAGTATTGTACCTGGGTAAGTGACACTGCTTTAGGGCATTTCGGGCCTGGAGAATGCCAAATTCATGCTAATTATAGCAGTATGCCAGGACAGGTTCCCCCCTTCTTTTTTAAAGAGATATGTTTGGGACAGATGCCAACCCACTGGCAGACTGGTTCTGGAGACTTAGGTGTAAGTATGCGTGGTCTCTGCATGGGGAGGATGGCTTGGCACACTATCAGAGGATCGAGCATGAGAGATTGTGGATTGCTTAGTGAAGAGGTTCTGGGGATGTATGGGAAAGAGGACTGCTGAGGGAGAACATGATAGGCGAGGAGTGACATCTGGGTGACTTCTACCAAACAAGTTACCACACTTACAGTAGTAAATGAGGGGATTTTGATCAGATTGTTCAGTAGAGCAAAAGTGGAAGGCCTTTTAGGGACAAATAATATACCTGCCCATGTGGAAGACTGAGCTGGTCTGCTAATATCAACCAATGTTTACCAGTTCATGTGGATACCAAACGTGGGGGCCTGCCAGGTAGGGCTTGAACATAGTATCAGCCATTCAGTGTTGGGGCAGGAGGTGGGCTAGGCTGTAGTATCTATCAGCATAAGTTAGAACTGGCTTCGGTTGGGATGAGCCAAGGTGCAGCACCTGCACTGCTGGTGAATGCTGAGTTGAGATGGACTAACCCAGACTGCACTGCAGCATCCACAGTTTCATGTAATGTAAGGTAGGAGGGCCTGGTATGGTAGCCTCGTGGCTAAAGTCCTCACCTTGCACATGATAGGATTCCATATGGGTGCCAGTTCTAATTCCTGGTGTCCCTGCTTCCCATACAGCTCCCTGCCTGTGGCCTGGGAAAGCAGTTGAGATGGCCCAAGGCCTTGTGACCCTGCACCCGCGTGGGAGACCCAGAAGTTCCTTGCTCCTGGCTTCGGATCAGCTTAGCTGCAGCCACTGCAGACATTTGGGGAGTGAATCAGTGGACAGAAGAGCTTTCTCTCTCCTTCTCCTTTCTGAATTTCCAATAAAGATAAATAAATCTTTTTTTAAAAAAAAAATAATAATAGTAATATTGGGCAAGGGGTGAGACCAGTAGGGGCCTGTAGGAGTTCCCCTGATAGGCTGCTGCTCCCACTAGTGAGCCTGAGAGCTAGTATGGTGCAGACCAGGCTGGGCAGGGCCATACAACCTGATGACCCAGTTGTGAGAGCCAGGTTGGGCTAAATGACCACATTCATTTGTTCATGCATGAGTCAAAGTCAATGCTAATTGGTCATGTTTTGCCACAGCACTGGCTAACGGGTCTGGGGATTGGGGACAAATATTGCCAGGCCAGACCTCAGAACTACCTGAAAAGTGGAAGAACTGGGGTTGAGAATGGGCTTAGTAGGGAAACTGTGAGCGGGCTTAGTAGGGAAACTGTGAGCAACCCTCTGAGGAGCTGCAGCTCTTATTGGCAGGTTGGCCTGGCTGGAGGCAATGGCACCCATCTGCATGAGTGTGGGCTGGATAGGGGGGTTGTCAGGGCTGAGCTGGGTTCCAATACCTAGAGATGTATATGAGAGCAAAATAGGATGTGGACTGTCTGCTGCACACACTGGCAAACACAAGAACTGAGGTTAGGGGTGGGCCAATTGGTGGTTATTGGGAGTCTAGTACTGACTACGGTGTAGTTCCCAGTGGTGTGCCAACTGTGTTGGTGGGCAGTGTTGTGCTGGGTCACAGCATTCACTGGGTTGTGTATGAGGTGGAGTTAGGAATAAAACTGATGAGGCAACTGCAACCACCAGTGTGTTTGCATGTTGGTACTGGGCATGGACTGAGCCAGACCTTGCACTGGCTGGTACACACTGAAACCAGGTATAGGGTCACCTCTGGTGAGGTTTCTTTGAGGACCTCCCCATCTTGAGCACTGGACTAAGAACTCCAACCATGAGCAAAGTAAAAGGATCTGTGGTCAGACCATGGAGCGCTTATCTTAAACCTGGTCTCTTGATTGTTGAAATCTGTACAGTGGATGGCATGCCCACAGGCACCTGGGGCACTAGATGGCATGTCCAGATGCACATGGGAGCAGAACAACCAGTTCATTGATGCTTGTAGAGGATATCTAGTACCATGGAGGGCAGAACATATTAGGCAGTTCTAAAGGTTATGCTTTGACAGTGAGTATCTAGGTGAGTGTAGACTCTGAGGTGGGCTATGTCAGCCAATGGACCTTGGAAGAATTTCCTCATCTTCGGAGCAATGAACTCAATAGCATGTCAGAAGTATCAAAACCACTTAGGCAGTCTTCTTGGAACATGTTCCACATAGGGAACCCTAGGATGTTTTCAGGTGGCCATGGCCCATTCACAACAGCATAATTATTGCTGAGAATGGCTGTCTCCACTTCTGTCCCCACACTCCCCAAATACAGAAAGAAAGAAAAAAAAAACGAGGGGGATCAGAAGTGGTTGTCTCATTTACTTTCCCCCATTCCTCTATCCTCCCCATTGTAATCAGAGGTCCACATGGGCATGCATCCTTCTTAAATATGTAAATATCATCAAATGAAAATTTTCTTTTCAAAAAGAAAGATTCTCAGAATTGGAAGATACCGCCTTCAATAACACTAAAATAATATAAAAACTGGAGGAGGATCTGAATCAAGCTAAAAAAAAATTATTCAGGAATTATGGGACACAATCAAAAGGCCAAATGCAGGAGTTGTGGGAGCCCCAGAAGGTGCAGTAACAGAAGTTGGATCAAAGATGTTTTTAATGAAATAATAATTGAGAACTTCCCTAAAATATTTAAACACCTGGGAAACTACAGGGCTGACCAAAACAAATCCTTACCATAATACATCATAATCAAGTTCCCATTTTTAGAAACAAAGACACTTAGGGCCCAGCAGTGTGGCCTGGTGGCTAAGGTTCTCCCCTTGGGTACGCTGGGATCCCATATGGACACTGGTTCTAATCCCGGCCACTCCACTTCCCTTCCAGCTCCCTGCCTTTGGCCTGAGAAAGCACTCGAGGACGGCCCAAAGCCTTGGGACCCTGTACCCCTGTGCGGGAGACCTGGAAGAGGCTCCTGGATCCTGGCTTCGAACTGGCAGAGCACTGGCTGTTGAGCTCACTTGGGGAGTGAATGATCGGACAGAAGATCTTCCTCTCTGTCTCTCTGCCTCTCTGTGTATCTGATTTTGCAATAAAGATAAATAAATAAATATTAAAAAAAAAAGAGAGGCTTAAATCTGCACATTAAAAAACAATTAACTTATATAGGAACCCCAATCACTTCTACAGCAAACAAAAATTTAGACATTGCTTTTATTAGGCCTGCCCTACAAATGCTAAAGATGTCCTGCTGGCAGAGAAAAGGAATAGCATCAACTATTATCAAAGACATGGAAATAATCAAGACGCCGATCAACAGAAGAATGGATAGAGAAAATATGGTACATCTACATTATGGAATACTACTCTGCCACTAAAAAGAACAAAATTCTATCATTTGCAACAAAAGATTCCAATTAGAGACCATTTTCCATAGTGAAATAAATCAATCCCAAAAGGACAAACATCATATATTCCCTCTGAGGACACTTTCATGAAAACCACAAGATCAACATATAGGTAAACATTTATATACATATATTCATCTAGAATAATTTGTATTATAATAGAGACTATCAAATCCAGCTGTGAATATACAATACAGTATGCATCTCTACTTCTGAATAAAAGATGGACTCCCAATAAAAACCATTAAATAAATCTTGACCATCGGAGACTGGTCTCCCATGATACAATATCATGATATACTTAAACAGCAGAAAGATGGAATTGTGACTATTTCTGAAGAACTATATTTCGCAATGATACAGGAGAAAACAGTTGTAGGAGGAAGACAATGGGAGACTGGAGGGGAAATCCTTGAATCTATTGGACTGCAACATGAAAAAATAAAATTTTAAAAAGTGGGAGAGTGAAAATAAAATAAAACCTTTGGATTAGAAAAAAAAAAAAAAAAGCCAGGGACCATCCAGAGCAACTGTTAGAAAGCAAAGAGAATTTTTTTTGCTTGAAGTCCAGTGTAGTATCTTCACTATGATAAACGTAATACAGAATAATAATAAAAGTAATGCAGAATAAAAACAAAATACAAAGAAGTTGGATAGTATCAAGGATACTTAATTTTCTCCATTCACAATGCCATTTATTCACATTAGTTTTCTCTAAAATTTGTTCTAAGTTAATGTTTTTTTTTCCAATGGTAAGCATAAATACAAATAACAAAATTACTTGTACCAAAAATCTTACCTGATATTTTGTGGTGCTTCACCAAATAAAGTACAAATTTCTCTTATTTGTTTCAGTGCAGGAATTGCCCACTTGTTATTTCTGCAAAGTTCTTCTATAAGACGATCTATCCACTGGATCTTTAATGTATCTCGATCCTTAGGATGAGAAAAATTGGAAAAGCATTCTACATTATTTTTTGTCTTAAAATTTAGATTTTCAAAGTACAGAAGATTCTAACTTCAGTTTAACAAAAACACAATGCAGTTGTACCAGATTTGATATATTACTTCACTAGTTTATCTTGAATATAAAACTCTAAAATTTTGTGAAGCACTATTGTTACATGGATACAGACATACTTAGAACAATACCCAAATATATTAAGTATAAGCACTTCTAAAAAAGCAAAATTTTAGAAACATCTGTCTCAATAAAATATTGTATAAGATTTAATAAAAACATATCCCAACATTAGAATTTATACGTTTTATCTTTATGCTTTCTAATTAGCACAAAAATAGTGGAAATTATAAGTAGTCAAACAACAGTAATTATGCATGTCAAAAACTAAAGAGAAATTTACAGAAAACTAGTTACTAACTAAAAGAATCAAGACCATTGAGAGAGTAACTTTACATTAAGTACTCTCAAGGGTTCAGCTCCTTCAATCTTCTAAATAGAAAGACAAATTCAAAATTCTGTCAGATTTGGGTATATATTTTGAGTGATTCAATTTTTATACACAAGAACTATATTTGTCTCACACAGATTTGTTAGAATATTTTGACAAACTTAATCAAATCTGTTTTAGAAAAATAAATTTGATATCTTTAGTGAATTTCATTAAAATTGTGGACATTCTTTATAGGCCAAAAAGCTGTTTTAACAATTATACATAATATAGACTATTCATTATTACACAAAGTTTCACTATATAAACAACAATTTTTCTGTACCTATAGTATTGTTTTCATACAATTTCCTGAGAAAACTCCAAAATATACAATCTCTACATTGAATAACATTTACGTTTAGGACTGTTTAGAAATGTTTGTTTATGAAACTTAAAATTAGCAATGCTTCTTAAATTCTTTAAGGTTAACAGTGTTAGACCTATTCGTTTTCACTAAGGCATTTCAAAAAGGCAAAACAGATACTAGGGAATCTCAGCTCTTGCATAGTAGCATATGGAAAAATATGCCAAGTTATAAAACAAAAACTGAGCATTTATAACAGGCACACTTTTGATTTTCCCTAATACTTCCCCATTTAATAAAAAAAATTTGAACTTAAAACTCTTATAATCATTTCAGATGCTAAGCAAAAAGTTGCCCAACAATCAGAATTAATAAAAATAGAGCTATATGGTTCACATGAAGCCAGTGAAGTTTATTTTCTCCCATTACACACAAAAATCACAAGTATTACTTATTATTGAAGTTAAAGGATTCTCCTTTCCCTTTTTGTATCTGGTCAGGATAATAATTATAATAAACTTAGTAGTATGTTCTTCAAACTTAAAAAAAATAAATTGGCTAAGATCAAAGTCCATAGAATGCCTAATCTTTGAAATTTGTCTCCATGTTAATGTTCTATTTATCTAATCTTTATAAATGTAACCAATAACAGTTTTTCATAAAAGTCACTTCAGTAAATTCTTTGAAACATCACAATTTATAAGATTTTCAAAATCTAAAAACATTATTTTGAGCTTGTTTCAGTAAATGAAATTTGAACTATCTCATGGTTATCATGACAAACCAATCCATTAACTGATGTAAACTTATAGTTGAAAACAAAATCAGCAAAAACAGATGAGATTCATTTAAATGCACAGAAACATACTTGTTTCTGGAAGAGGCAATATTAAACTGTTCATTTTATGGATTGCTTATGAGTAAATAAAATGTGAATACCCCCAAATCACTCCTAGTTTAACTATAACACAGTTTGCAGCTTTACTTACAACTTTTTATTTTGAAGGATGCAAACTGATTTCAAGGAATGCAAAATGCAAAGTGAAATATAACTAAACCTTGCTAAAACTACAGCTAAAAAGACATATGACGAAAATAAATAAATTTCTCAAAATCACTTAAAAAACAACAATGTATTAGCTTCAACCTTCGGTCACTTAAACTACACTGATTATGAAAGGGAAAAGACAGAAATTGGTCAAAGAAACAACCCCATACCTGGGAACAACTATAATCTAGTATTTTTACGTGGGCATTGAGAGCTAGGTCCATGATGTCTATAGGTACATCATCACTGTGTGCCAGATTCCAAAGAAGGTTTAATACTTTATGTGCCATCACACCATCTTTATCATCTTCTGCAAGACGACATATCAGTTCAAGTAGCTTTTCACGCTGTTTATTGCTTGCACTTGTCCAACTTGCCTACAAAAATTTTTAGTTAATGTAATTTTTTAGTTAATGTAATTTTTAGTTGCATTAATTATGTCTTTGTATATACGTATACATGCATTGCTGCTAATGTAGAACCAGAGGAAGTACAGAACTCAGAACTTTCCCTAGTTTTCATCAGTTAAAGACTACTAGATATTACGGAAATATGGATTACACAAAGAGGTGGAATTTTGTTCTTACAAAGCAGGAATCAGAGATGCCTGAATCGTGTTCTAAAAGGTGGTAGTCAAGCACATTGTTATCCCTTGTCTCAAAACTGCCAACCATAAATTAAAATAAAATTATGTTAATTTCTGCAGTGTTCTTAACATGTTCAAACCTTTAGGTTTCAATGAATAATTACCTGACATGCAACATTAAAACAAATGATCTTAAAAAAAAATTGTTTAACCACCCAAACCAGAAGATGTTACCATACAATCTTTTGAAGCAGGAATACAAGCCTTCAACTATCAGAAAAAAATTCAACATAATGTGAAACTTCTCATTCTCTCAGGATATGAAACTTCATGATTCACTCAGGAGGAGAATAAAAACAGAATAAAACACAAACACAAAATAGCAAGTCTAAGCCAATAATTACATAACTGTAGTTGTTTTAACTATAATAGTTAAAAGGCAAAAATTAATAATGATTATTTAACAAATATAAGAAAAAAGAAGCATGAAGAACATAACAATCCAAAAATTACAGGAATCTGATGTGTAAACATGTTAAATGTAAAGCACAAACACAATTCATCTGTGAAAAAAATAAAATGAGACAGTATCAAGCAGTATCTATCGCTTTCAAAAACGACAGGATAAATGAAACAGAATATAGAATTCAACAACATCAACCAAGACAATTTTGCTGGTAGTCACAAGAGCTCCATTTAACTACTGCAGCAAAGTTTCTTCTCAAAATGGTAAGAAAATATGAGAAAATACTGATGTACATATCATTCATTGTAAAATACCAAAGCCTATTGATAGGATTCAAGTTCAAAAGCAGCAACCAAGAAAATTCTCTAGAATGACTTACTGAAGTCTTAATTACATGATGAAGTATCTTAGAAGAAAATAAATTAACTGTAACCAGCAGTGCAGTGTAGCTTGTTAAGCTTCCACCTGTATGGTGCAGGCATTTTATATGGTTGCAGATGAGTGTGGGAGAGCCGCAGAAAAAACTTAGTACTTGGGGTTCTATAATCAGGGTTGGAAATCAAACGTTCCTGGGTTCAGCCAAGACCATTTTGGGCCACTGAAATTATTTGGGAATAATCAGTAGATAGAAGATCTCTGTTTCTCCCTCCAATTCTGCATTTCAAGCAAATAAATCAATCTGTGAAAAATGCAGCAACTTAAGGTTTTTCTTATTCAATAGAAATGAAAATAAATATTGACATGTAAATACATAACACGTAAGCAGCAGAGTAACAGAAGTGAAATGTAGTCAAGAAAAGGGAAATGTTCAAGCACTTTAAACTTTACTACAGGAACTCAAAAAATGTGAAATAATCCTGAAGCAAGCAGAAGAACTACAAAGACAGAACTGAAAAAGAATACCACAAAAAATTAATAAAGTGAAAAATGTGGTTTTTATAAAAGGATAATCAGAAAAACTCTTAGCAAAACAAACTTTGCACAAATAGAGTTTACTGAAGTTATTATTTTATTGTTATTATTATTTGTTATTGTTATCACATAGTTGTTACTATATGCTTTAGATATCAATAAGAACAGGAAATACTAAAAATAAACATAATTTAATATTCTATGATCAAATGAATCATATTCTTTGAAAAAAAATTTTTTAAGTCAAGCAATATAACTTAGAAAACTTGGGTAGAGGAGTCATTTTAAAGGAAACTGAATTCATAGATTGGCTTTAGGGAAAAAATAACTTCATAAAGAATTACTACCAATTGTGTGTCTGTTTTTTTTTTATTTCTTTTTCTTCTTCTTCTTACTATCATTTTGTGATACAATTCCATGGGCCCTGGGATTTCCCTTTTCTCTCTCCTCAAGTCCTCTCCCTTTGTTCACAGAGTTCCCTTACATTACTACCATAGTATAACTCTTCATAAACAATTATATGTCCATCATTGTGGGCATGGACAATGGCAGAATCCAGCATCCTATTGTCAAGATATAGTAACCAGTTTCATAAGGAGTCCATCTTTGATTTGGAAGTAGAAACGCATATTGCATTGTATCTTCACATCTGGACATGATAGTCTCCTTTAATCAGTTACTATACATTCCCTTAAATGAATACAAAAGTACACAATATAAAATCAAAAGAGAAAAATAGAAATTGACAATGCACTTTTGTTCCTTAACAAACTATTACCAGCAGAATTTTTATAAGTTATTAATGATATTAGTTTTTTACATATAGGGATTCATATTTCCATTTGCCTTTGGTTTTGGTGGGTTCTATTCCTCTTCTCTGTCAAGAGAACATCTTGAATTGTCATTGGTAGGGCAGGTTTAGGAGAGGCATATTCTTTTAGCTTTTCTTGACTGTGGAAGAATTTTATTTCATTTTCAAAGAAAAGGAAAGCTTTGCTGGGTACATTATCCTGGGCTGACAATGTTTAGCTTTTAGAATCTGGAAAATATCATTCCATTCTCTTCTGGCCTTATAGCATTTTCTGAGAAATCTGCTGTGAGTCTAACTGGTATTACTCTTTAGGTCAATTGATTTTTTTTTCACGTGCACATTTAAGGATCTTTTTCTTATGTTTGATTGTAGAAAGTGTGATTATTATGCATCATGGTGAAGATCATTTTTGGTCAACTCTACTGTTCTGTGCCCCTCTGGGGTGTTGTTTCCCAATTCTTTCTCCATATTAGGAAAATTTTTCTTTATTGTTTCATCAAACACATTTTTTATACCAGGCTTCTCTTGCTGCTATTTCTGGATCTCCCATAACTCTTACAACTGGCCTTTTAATAGTGTCTCTTAATTCGTGAATGCTTTTTTTTTTGTTTGTTTAGCTTGACCCAGATCTCCTTCTAGCCTTTTGTTTATTTTGCCCTGGTGACAGGAAATAGATCCTAATTTTGAGATTCTTTCTTCTGCCTCCTTCATTCTATTTTGGAGACTCTCCACTGTACTTTCAATTTCTTCCACTGTACTCTTAATTTCTGACATATCAGCTTTTGTCTGACTCATTTTTTGCGTGACATATTCCTTAAATTCCTTGAATGCCTGTTTTACATGCTTTTTTTGTTGATAGGAAGCTTTATAATAAGTGTTTTGAATTCTGTATCCCTCTCTCATTTTCTCAATGTCTTCCTCAGTCAATTCTGAGGTTGGCAATTCTTCCTAAACCTTTGGAATTATTTCCAGTTTTGCCTTTATAATAATACTGTTGGACATTTATTCTACTAGACATATCTGTGAGCTTCTCCAAAATACCCATTTTTAACAGAAATAATTTATCTGAATGACTATGAGAGACAGAAACAGAGATCTTCTATATGATGAGTGATTTTTCAAACACCCACTACACCATACTGAACAAGAAACCATCCAGGTCTCCTAAAGTTCTTGGGACTAGGAACCTATATTTGAAGATTGAATATCAATAGGCTGATTAACATGTTTAGTGTCAACTAAATACAGTTTGTTTGCACAAAATGCATAACCATGGTTCTAAACAAGAATTTTGACACTAATACCAGCAGCTTTTGAAATAACTGTATGAACAATGATACAGTCTTCATATTCTTGATTCACAAATTTTCTATCCACATTAGAGACTTTTACCATTGATTCACAGGCTTCTGAATTATTTCCAGTTTTTGATTTATATGAATAACTTAGCAAAGAGTGCCAAGCCTGTATCACAATAAAATCAAGACAATATAATACCAGTAATACAAAGTAGTAACGAAACCTACTTCTATGTCTACAACCCCTAAAAATCAGTGCTTTCTTTAGGCATTCTTCATGTTTTTCTAATACCTCCCTGCATTCTTCAGTTGGTTTTAACCTAAATAAAATGAAGAAACTAATTCACAGGAATAGCCCAGAGGAAAAAGACATCACCAAGTCAATCAACCAACCAACCAATCAAGAAATGGGCGAGTTACCCTGATGTTCTGATGAGATTATAAGAGGCACGATTGATTTAAATGAGAGTCAATTAATACTTTTAAAATGAACAAACAACCTCTAATTCCAGCTATTACCTTAAAGCAATCAAAAAGATGATCCATTTGTTCAGAAGAAAAATCCCAAGCCAATTTTGCCAGCAAATCATGCACATTCTTCACAATGGCTTCATGTTTCCCTGCCTATTAATAATAACAACAAAAAAATAGCATACTTAAGTTTTAACAAGAGGAATTAATTAAAGTTTCTATCATCTGAACTTGAATTTCAATTTTTTTTTATTTATTTGAAAACCAGAGAAAGAATGAGAAAGATTTTGAGACCCTCATTCTGTCTGCTGGTTCATTTTCCAAACACCTGCAACAGGCTTAAACCTGAAATCTGAAACTTACTCTGGTAGGTATGTGGGTTTCAGAAACTCAACTCTAACTCATGAAGTTAGATGATTACCTGCTGATTGCTATTATTGCCTCTAGGAATAACTATCAGCAAGAAGCTGAATTGCAAGTAGAGTTGAAACTTGAACCTTGACACAATACAGGATGTGAGCATGCCAAGGTGATATTTAATCTACTACCTGACAATTTAAATATTTTAATGTTTCAGATCTATTACATAAAACTTGACAATTCCACTTTTTTTTTTGTACAACAATTTCAGGGAATTAATTTGAAAATGAAGCATTTAATATTCGCCAATAACATTAAAATAGAAATAATTAAAACATGTCAATGAAGACAATATTGAATACTTTAAGATTTATTTATTTTTATTGGAAAGGCAGATATACAGAGAGGAGGAGAGATTGAGAGGAAGATTATTCCATCTGATGTTTGACTCCCCAAGTGGCCGCAATGGCTAGAGCTGAGCCAATCTGAAGCCAGGAGCCAGGAGCCTCTTCTGGGTCTCCCATGTGGGTGCAGGGTCCTTGACTGCTTTCCCAGGCCACAGGCAGAGAGCTGGATGGGACATGGGGCTAGCGCCCATATAGGATCCTGTATGTTTAAGGTGAGGACTAGCCCCTATGCTATCACACCAGGCCCTAGTGTTTCTTTTACAAGAAAAAAAAAATCAAAATACATGCTAGTTATTTCTATTAACAATACTTCTCAAGGAATGCAGGAATAGCAATCTGCATTCAGATATTATAAAAAATCATGCACTAATACTTCCAAGACTACTAATTTTGAATAAAATCAAGCGTGATTCCTTGTCAGGATGCTCTAAGTGCTGGTTATCCCATTTCTGATTCAGCTCCCTGCTAATATACCTGGAAAAGACATAGAATGTGGGTCCTTGCCATCAACGTAGGAAACCAGGATGTAATTTCTGGCTCTTACGTTTGTTGTGAAACAATTCAGTGATGGCAGCCATTTGGAGAGTGAACAAGTGGATGCAACAATTCTATGTTTCTCCTTTTGTGTTTGTCAAAATACTTTTCAAATAGATCAGAAATATGTAAGTTTTTTTTATCTGAATAAAAGTTCCTTTTTTAAAAAAAGGCAATACAGTAATTAATTCTTGTGGTACATTTCCCCATTTTATAGGAAGATTTCTAACTATGGATAGAATGCTAAAAATAATAAACTGTTTTCTTTTTCCAGTTTGTAAAGCAAAGGGAAAAAGGGTTAAGGGCTCCTGCCATGTGGCAGAGGCCTGCATTCAAGAAAGGATAAAATAATGTCTTTAGATGCATTATTCTACCACAGAAATTTATGTTAAATTGCTTCACACTTTTCTAAACTTCAGTGTATAGACATGAAGAGCTGGCACTGAGCCACAGAGGGTGAAACTATTACCTGCAAAGCCAACAAATCAGCTGCACTCCTACCTGCTCCACTTCTGATCCAGCTCCCTGCTTATGTGCCTGAGAAAGCAGTGGAAGATGCCCAAATGTATGGGCTACTGTACCCATTTGAGAGACTCTTACAAAGCTCCAGACTTCTAATTTCACTCTGACCTTTCCCTGTCTGCTGCAAGGTTTTCTGGGAGTGAGACAACCGACAGAGATACTCTCCCTCTCTTTCTAATAAATAAAATAAAAATTTTAAATGATGGAATATTTAATGTTTTTTTATTAAATATTCATAACAGGAGATGTTATGAGGCATAGCACTTTAGACTACAATTATGATGTTCACATACTTTACTGGAGTGCTTGTGTCACTTCCTCCCTTACTCTATTTTTTCCTCCTAAATAAACAAATAAGAAAAAAAAAATTCTTGGGCCCAGCGCGATAGCATAGTGGTTGAAGTCCTCACTTTGAACGCACAAGTATTACGCATATAATTACTGGTTCTAATCCCGACGGTCCCATTTCCCATCCAGCTCCCTATTTGTGGCCTGGGAATGCAGTCGAGGTCGGCCCAAAGCTTTGGGACTCTACACCCACATAAAAGACCTGGAGGAATCTCCTGACTCTTGGCTTTAAATGAGCACAGTACCAGCCATTCTGGTCACTAGGGGAGTGAATCAGCAGATGGAAGATCTTCCTCTCTGTCTCTCCTCCACTCTGTATATCTGGCTTTGCAATAAAAACAAATGTTTTTTCAAAAATTCTTGAAGGTATATTTGTACAGGTACTTACATGCAAAAGCAGTTAATAAAAATTCACATGCTGCAAAATTGTTCATGTTTCCAAAAATCAGAGCAATTATTTACAAATAAGTAGGTCTAAAGCCAAGAGAGGACCCAAACACCACTTTGATCTCCACTGTGGTTGGCAGGAACATCACATTTAAGATATTACTACTGCATTACACAATCTGGGTTAGCAGGAAGCTTAAGTAGGGTGCTGAAGAAAGCCATGAAGATCAGGCACAATATGGGAGAAAGGAGGAAGAATTCTCAACTTTAACTGGTACAATGGTTTAATCCTGTGTCTGTGGCACTGGCATCCCATCTGGCTGTCAGTTTGTGTCCCAGCTGCTCTAATTTTTATGGATCTCTCTTTAGCACTAAAGGATGCCCAAATTTTGGGGCTCTTGCACCCATGTGGAAGATCTGGAAGAAGCTACTAGCTCCAAGCTTCTGATCAATTCACCCCAGACTATTGCAGCCTTTCGGAAAGTAAAGATCTTTCCCTCTCTGCAAAATCTGACTTTCAATGAAAACTTACAAATCCTCAGGAAAAAAAAATAGGAACCAGAAAAAATCTGTTAATAGTTTAATATTATAAAGAGTTGCCATTTTAAATATTTTACCTGTGCTGCCCAAATATTATTAAGATCCTGTAATGTAAGAGCTTTTTCTTTAAGCACAAAACGAAGAATCTTCTCCAGCTTTTCCACATACTGTGGTTGATGAAGACTATCTCGTAAGATTATAGACAAAATATTGTTTTGCTGTATCCATTCCTAAAAATAACACAAAATATTTTACATTTTGTACTTCTAAGCAATATGAAAATCTAAAGGTTCAAACTACATATATTCATAATAATATACTAAAATACTAACTTTGAATTGTTTACATGAAAGTTATTAAATACTTTAGATTAAATAATTCTACACATAACTCAATTATGCATACACAACACACATCCACAGATGAAGTAACCTACAGATAACACACCAATGTGAACTCTGAAATATACAATTATATAAAATCTATTCTATGCATATAGAAAATGGGTCAAAAAACTGCGTTATATACTGACACAATATTGAGAATAACAAGTCTTCCATTTGTAATAGAATTTACGCACAAGTGTGTTACAAGCTACAATAAAATTACCACAAAAATATCACAGTAATGTAAAATAGCTTCACACTTTCATAATTCTTACACTGTACAGCTATTGAACACTTGTTTGCAAAAGCAATAGTGAAAAGTCATGTTTTCTGTTTGATATCTTATAAAGCACACAGATTGAATACAAAATTCTGACTCTAAATTCTGGGCCACATAATGATTCTAATTAAACAATATTTTTTTTAAAAGATTTATTTATTTTTATTTGAAAGGAGACTATACAGAAAGGAGGAGAGACAGAGAGAAAGATTTTCCTTCCAATGGTTCATTCCCCAAGCTGCTGCCATGGCTGGAACTGAGCCAATCTGAAGCCAGGAGCCTCTTCCGGGTCTCCCACACTGGTACAGAGTCCCAAGGCTCTGGGCCGTCCTCGAATGCTTTCCCAGGCCACAGGCAGGGAGCTGGAAGGGAAGCAGGGCTGCCGGGATTAGAACTGGCACCCATATGGGATCCCAACATTTACAAGGCCGAGGACCTTAACCACTATGCTATCATGCCAGGTCCTAATTAAACAACTTTTTAATCACATTCTAATCATTTGCAATACTGAACTGAAGATTTATTCAGGGCAGAGAGAAATATATTTCTACACTATATCAACCTGCAATATACAAAGAAAATTGGAATTTCATAAATGGTCTATTTTTTATCTCACAATGAAAACATATGTAAAACTGACAATAATATGTAATGTAAAAAGAAAATAAATCCTATTCAAGAGCTCATTCTATTAGCAGTAATCTTATATTTAAACCCTAAACTTAATTGGGAAATGACCATCACCATAACTGATTAAATAGACACCATACTTGTTCAATTGTTTTAAAGATTATCTGCATCTATTTCAATTTAATCAAACTTCAAGCAGCAATAAGAGTATCAGAAACACCTTCTTCTGGCATTGATAATTTTACTTAAACAGTTATGTTGCCCTAACTACTAAACACTCATTTATTTTCAGTATAATGATGATGTTTTAGTATTAGTAATCAATTACATTATTCTGACTTTAGTTTCTTTTGACTAAATCTAGCTTTCAATATACAAAATAAAACAAGAATTAAAGCAAACTTACTGCCATTCGCTCAGCTGTTAGCCACTCTTCTTCCTTAGTATTACCATGTCGATGAGTATAATAAGATACGTTAGATATTACCTTATTTATTTCATTTAGTGCATTCATTTTTCCACTAAAAGAAGAAATCTGTAATAATCTGAAAATAAAATCTGGAGTTAATACCATTGTAATACTTCAAATATAGTAACAAAGTGAGAAACATCTTACCTAAGTATCACTTTCAACCTAAAATTTTCTATAACTTTTACAGTTGCTTCTTGTTCTGGAATTCTTGAAACTAAATTCTTCAGAGATTTAATAACCATTGAAAGTGCATCATTTTTGGCCTCATTCTTTGCTTCTTTTTTCAATTCTTCATCAGTTAAATTTTCCACTAAGTGTGGAATTATATTGATAACTGGGAGAAAGTATTTCTTTACTGTGTGTGGACAAAGAAATTCATAGCACTGTCCAAATGGTCTGAAACAGGAAAGAAAACTATAATATTCAACTTTTAAAAATTAGTATTAAGCAAACCAATCTCAACAATCAATTCAAAAGCAAATTATTTCCAAATGAGAAGAAACCATATTAAAAAAACTGAAGAACTTTTAGAAAAGAACAGCTATTTATTATAAACAAAATCAACTTTAAAATAACTTACTTAATAAAAGCTGCAATTATTTGAACATTTAATGCTGATCCATTTATGAAACGATCAAGCAAAATCTGAAACCCATTTAAACTGCCAAATTTATTGATGAGATCCACAAGCCAACCCTGAAATACATGAAGTGTAATTGAATAAAAGCACTATGAACTGTATCTGACATAATTCAAGGGCAAAATGTATCATGTGTTATTATTTACAATTAGATAATATTACCTATATTACCTATATTTATCTATATGAAATATTCTTAAAGCCTAAAGTAGCAATGGCAAGAATTACAACTACTAAGAGGGTTGTGAATTATATCTGAATCTATTTCATGTATCTTGCTAATAGAAAAAGATTGTACAAATAACATATCTAGATTTAACATGCAATATATAAATTCTTAAGAATTTGTTAAGAATAAAATGAGTCAACTATTAAACAGCAACAAAGAAAAATTTGAAATCTAATCTTCGAAAGAGCAAATTTTAAAGAAAAATTAAAAGATAATATAGGGAAAAGAGTAAGCATCTCGCATGGTGGCTACATTCCAGCTTCCTACTGATCTTAATCTCAGGAGAAAGCAAGGATGGTTCAAGTGCCTTAGTTCCATTCAGATAGTAGAACTGGATTCAGTTCTGGACTCCTGGTTTCAATCTTTCCCTTCCTACTCTCTCCTCTCCCCTTCTTTTCTCCCTTATCACTTCTCCTCCGCCTTGTTTCACTTACTCTTTTTTTACTTGGCTCCCCTAGTTTTCCCTTCTTTCACTCTTCCTCTGCTAGTCTCTCCTGATCCTCATCCTCTGTCTCTTCTGATCCGCATCCGTCACTCTCCCTCTGCTTTGAAATAGATGTGTCTTTTTCTTTTGAAAAGAAGCCCATGCTCAATTATGATGACTAGAGTTAGTTACATTGTGTTCTTTAAAAAACCTAAGAGTAGATTTTCAAGGATTCTTATCACAAAAATAATAATACATAACCTGCTCCAAGCATCCAGTTTATAATGTATTCATGTTCAAAACAAGTTTATGCGGAACATGAAATATTTTATCAATTCAATTTAAAAAGTATCAATGAATATGTGAATACACAGATCATTTAATTCTATTTCAGAGACATATCTAGTGTAAAACTGAATAAAAATTTCTTTTTGGCATAAACAACATATTTTCATAGAAATGGTACTAAAGAATGCAAAGTATTAAGCATTTTATACAATAAATAACATACACTGTGAACAATCTTCTGTTAGTTTTTATAATTCTATTTTGTATTTATTAACAGCTAAGTGAGAATCCTGTGCTCTTTGTTAACAAAGTCCTTGTGGTCAAACTGGTGGTGCTTAAATTCTGAATCTGTTGGGGCCTGGCCTGATGGCCTAGTGGTTAAGTCCTCGCCTTGCATGCACAAGGGTCCCCTGTGGGTGCTGGGTTGTTTCCAACTTGCCCCACTTCCCATTCAGCTCCTGCCTGTGGCCTGGGAAAACAGTAGAGCATGGCCTAAAGTCTTGGGATCCTGCACCCATGCTAGAGATCCAGAAGAAGCTGCTTGGTTCAGGAACACTTGCTGGGACTATTTGGAATGGAGCAATGGATGACAGATCCATTCTCTAATGCTTTCCCAGTTTGTAAGCAGTGAGCTGGACTGCAGATAGGACAACTGGAATATGAATAGGCATACTTTGAGAATGCAGGCACTGCAGATGCAAGATTAACATATTAAGCTACTATACCAATCTTTAGCTTGCATTTCTTCTCATGTGTTGTAATTATTATTGTTTCTTTAACTTCTTGAAAAGGGGAAGCTGATAGTAGCGACTACAAACAAAAATGATAAAACAAACAAAAAATACCCATAGAGTATATATATAACCAGGCCAGAATGAGGAAGTTGTTTGAGACAATCATATTCCAATTTAAAAAATGTCCTGGTTTGTTTCTGGACTCCAGTCCTGATCTAGCTTCCCGCTAATACTCAAGTGGTTGGTCTCTACTCCTTCATAAAAGCTCATATTGTTTTAAACTGCCAATTTGGAAGTGGCTTCAGTGCTTGCTACTGTAGACACTGGGGGAATGAATAAGTGAATGGGAGATCTCTCTTTATATTTCAAACAATACAAGTAAATAAAAATGGAAAACAAGCAAAACAAAAGCAGAGCACAGCTAGTGCTTATTATTTGTGGTAGGTAAATTCTCTAAAAACAACTAATTAATTAATAACTGCATCACATATAACACAGGTTAAGTTCTAGTAAATGTATTTATCAATCTGTTATTTCAGGTTTGGTTAGAAGCCTAGTGATATGAGTTCAATGTAAATAAGTAGAAACATAAAGGTTATGACTCTATGTTCAACTGAAGTTCGAAACTACTCAATGTACAAACAAAAATATCTTAGTTGAAAATATACTTAGTTGAAAAAAATATGAAACCAACACACTTTTGGTGATCGATGATCTGAAGAAAGAGCAAATAGTTCATCTTCTGGTAACGGAGTGTTTGTGGGAACTGATTCACAAGGACGTGTACCATTGTAGATATGAAATTTGCAATGAGGATTAAAGGCCATGGCCAACAATTCTAGAAGTGGAAAGCAATCTTGGGACAACTTGGCTACACAAAGCTCCACAAGGCGGTGAGTGTTATTAATAATGCATCTCTGCATGTAAGGAAATGAAGATGAGAGATGGTTTATAATGGTAAAATTTCAACTTTCAATCACCTATTTTTGTTAATCATAATACTCCAATTTTGCAATATACACACAAGCTTAATTTCAGTAATACTGTGATCAAATATTATATCATTATTTTGTATTATATCAAAAGCTATTTGAGAAGGATTACATTTAAAGTTGGCATCAAATACTGTACAGTCTTTATAGGATATGTACACATTAACATTCTTTTGTAACTCAAATCTGTTTTCTAGTGGCACTAATTCTAAACATTTAAAGTTAATTAAATTATCCTTAATTCTAAGGCAAAACTTAAATGTCATAGACCACGAAAATAACATAATTTATTTCTACACCTACTAAGTTGAATTTCAATACAGAATTTCCTGGCACTAATATATGGTAAAAGCACTTTTTTGAAATACATATTTGTTTCTCTTAATTAGTTATATTTTATAAATTTGTTACATTTTATAAATAAGAAACTAGTTTCTGGCAACAGCAGTAACTCAGCAAAAACAAAAACAAAAACCCAAAAAACCATATTTCCAATTTATAAAAATATTCTCCAGAATACAAAATTAAATTGGAATCAAAAGTATCTTATATTATCTATCTTTGACATAATACCTGAGAACATTTTTGTTTCCCTTTGTTAGTCATTTGAAGCAACTATTACTTTGAACATACTTTAAAATTATATCAAGTTTGAAATTTGAATATACATCACAACTTGTTTAAGGACTACTTTCTGATCTAAAATCCAAGAGGACAGTATTTTTTCTGTTTACTAAGTACCATATGTCCACACTTCCTTGCCTGACATTTCTACATTGTGAATTTATCATTTTCATGTACACTGAACCTCAAATTCATATTTAGTCTGATTCAAAGTTCTCCCATCTTGAATATTTTTCTTTGTCAATACTCCTATAACAAATAATGAAATGCATCATATTCCATATAATGCTACAAGGCATTTGGAATTGCAGGTGATAAAGGTTTCATAACTCAAAATTTGAAGCTCACTCTAAAAGAATATGCTAACTTTCAGTTCTGTCATACATATCGGCAGACACAATATATTTTCATCTTAGTATTTTCCAAAGATAAAGTCACAAAGACTGTCAAGTAAATTTCAGCCCTCAAAATATACACATGACTCACCTGAATTTCAAACTTCCATCCACTCACTGCCTCATCCATAAGGATTTTAGTGAAAGATACTGTTAGCCCATCTCGAAAAAAACGTTGACATGCATCACTTTTAACATCAAGGCCTAAGGAAAAGTTACAAAAGCCAAAATCAATAGGATGTTCGACTCTATCCATACCTATAGTGTCATTTAATACACTTAAATAGCAGAATGATGGACTTGGCTGTTTATGAAGGACTATATACTACTATAATGATAAATGGGAAATCACTGGAGAGGCGGAGATTTAGGGATGGGGAAAGGAAATCCCAACAGTCTTGGAACTGAATCATAAAATAAATAAATTTAATATTTAAAAATCACTAGCTTTGCTCAACAATTACTTCAAAATACTAGAATAGTGATTTTTGGCACTGTGAATATGCAAAAGAGAGCCATAAATCATTTGCCTTGAGTGAAAAACAGTCTTGAAGTTGACTGGAGCTATAGAAAAAAATTTTCAATACAGAAAAAATAAATGAAGAAGTCATTTATGTAAAGAAAATAATTCTCAGGCCAATTATGTAACACAAAACAAACTACTAATAAAATTAATTTTCAACTCAGAAAATTTGCTTTAGTGGTCTGAAATCAGTAACAGCATTTTTATTAAGATATGAGATGTTGGGAAACATTATTCAGAAAAAAATTGAAATCCTGAATTTTAGAAATAATCATCTGTAAAAAATCATATCAAGTATTATTAATACCATTTAAATAAAAGTTCCAAAGTGATATTTAACTTACATACTAAAACTTAAAAAAAGTCAAATATAAAATTCTATGTGGTCATAAATTAGATTTATCATTCAATTTTATAGATGCATCCTAACATTTTCACTTTCTAAGACACAGCAAATTATATTTTTTGTTGAAAAGAAAAACCTCTAATTCTTAATGAGAAAATTCAAACAATATTAAATTAATATCCTGAGATATGGTTATTTAAAATTATATACTAGTAGAAACCTTAAGGTCTTCAAGAACTCACAGACTGATTCACAAAGATTCCCAGAAAATCTGACCATAAGTCCTTACAAATTATATACAACTACTGAATGCCAATTCCAATGAAATACTATTTTTCTGGGTTTGTCCATTTGTAATAGTAAGACGTAGTTGATATTTACTAAACTACTGAATAAAAGAGAACATTTATTCCATTAACAAATGTAATCTGAATGCCCAGAAACATTCGTAATCTGTCAAAATATTTTCATAGAGGAGTGGATTATTTTTGTAAAATCAAAAATAAAACAATAGATTCTAAATGATTATAGGACAGTAAATTATGTTATTATCTTGCCACAAAGTTAGGCTAAAAACATTTAGATTTTACAAGAAATTAAAAACAAACATGTACAGGTAGAACAAATGTGACCAAATTTCAAATCTGTACTAAATTGTATGAAAAATGATACTTACTACACTTTCTTCTAGCTTTCAAGGTCTTGATACTAGATACACTTTCTTCACTGACTGCTTTTTAAAGATTAAAGACTTTAAATATGAAAGAGTTCTATCATGAGAAAGGAAAAATTCTCCATATTTAAAAAAAGCATACATGAAAAGCAGGTAGATAAAACATATATAACCATAATGAAACACAAATTGCCACTGAATAAGTCAGAGAATTCTATTAATTAGCCACTGTCTTTGAACAGTGTTATCAACAAATAAACCTAATGAGAAGCTGAACTCTCCATAGTATTTGCAAACATATTTTTCAGTTAAATGTAAAATTTTAAAAACACATGGGAATTCAAAGCTATGTCCTATACCATAATTTGTAAAGTAATCTTTAGCTCCTATTCATGTCATCTAAAAATTTAAAAACAAATATTTTAATTTCTGATTAACAAAAACCAAAAAATCTGATGAGAACAACATTCTCCTTAGAAACTGGAGTTTGAGAAAAGTCATCAGCAATTTCACAGTTAAATGCATGTGACGTGACAAAGCATACAAATATTCTGCCTGCAACACCTGTTTTCTAATTCAGCTTCCTAATAATGGCCTGGGAAAGCAGCAGAGGATGATTCAAGGCCTTGGGACTCTGCACACATATCGGGAGCTTCAGACTAGGGCAGCTTTGGCCACTTTGACCATTTGACCATTTGAGGAATGAACTAGAGGATGGATATCTCTCTGTGTCTCCATCTGTCACACTGGCTCAAAATAAAAGAAATAAGTATTAAAAATAGAAACAAATTGTCCAGATACATTCAATGGTTTCTTGAGGAGATCATCTCTGGTCTGAAGGCAGAGATGGCAAAATAGCATCTTGATCAATTAAAAGCCCCAACATAACATAAGCAACAACTTACAACATTATGGAGTTAATTGGCACGGAATTGAGTCACCAACATGTTAAAACTTGCAAGTTCTTAACCACATCCTATGACTACTTCATTGACATTTCAATGTTAGTTTACATAAAACTGGCTGCTATACACCTTAAAATGGTTATAGGGTACTATTCAGCTGTCTTGTGTCTATCCTTTTTTTAGCATTTAGTAGTTTATAGTGTTGAAGCATAATTTTGCTAAACTTGGCAGATTTTTGGATAGTCTAAACTGGCTTATAACTCTAACCAGGCATTTGTCAACAGTTGAGGTGCAGAACAGTTTTAGGAGGGGTATGCAGAGAAATTTCAGTACCACAGTGAGGAGTAACTAATCTTTGTGTCCCACCTAGTAAGGTATATGTGGATCCACGCTGACCGTTTCCTGTCTGCTTCTAAGCTTTCCTTGTTGTTCTCTGTCTATCTGATCTAATTTTCTTGTTTTGTTTTGTTTTTAGTGGGGGGCTTGGGGCAACCCTGATGGTCATTGCAAGAGAGGGAGGAGATCCAGAGTTGGAACTAAGCAAGGATCAGAGAAAGCTCCTCTCCCTAGCCCCGAAGGAAGTTTACTGTTCTTCTGTTTCTGCAGACCACTCAGGGCTCCTGGCTGTTATTCTGATGACCTTGGATCCTGCGAGGAAGGATTTGGGCTTCTTCCTTCCCATGTGGTAGATCCAGATGGGGGTGGGTGACCTCAGAGTTCTCGGGCTCCAAAGGCACTCCAATTCCCCATTGTCTCCTGGCAGTGGGATGTAGTCCTTGGTGCCCGTACTGATAGTCCTTGGTGAGGATCTGAGAGTCTTCAGAGTTGGGATACAAGCCTCCTCCTGTCCTCCTGCTCCTCTTTGGGGTCCATCCCCTGCTCTGTGCATATGACCTTCTGTTAAGAGGCTATCACAGGATTGCTCTTGAGTCCCCCATATGACTTTGCAGTTTTACCATTGTCTAATGCAGATTTGTGCTGACTCTATGCTTGGTAAATGCTTGCAATGAAAGAATCTCAACTGAATTTGAACTGTAATACTGCAACAAGGTGGAGGAATCCACCATGAAGGTAGGGTATGGGGAGGGGTTGGGGGAATCCCAGAGCCTATGAAAATGTGTCACATAACGCAATGTAATTAATAAAAAAAAATAGAAACAAAACAATAAAATGTCCATGATTTGAAATATCTTTTGCAACAAAATACTCTTTCATTCAGTTTTCATGAACTGTTGAAGTTCACATGTAAATTTAAAACTGCATACAATGTGAAAGGTTTACATACACTTATAGGCTGTCTGAACATTTTAATGAACCTCTACTGAGTGTACATGTGTTCATGTACACATGTACGTGTATGCATACACAACTATCCTTACCATAAATATTATAAATGATATAATATACGTTAGAAATAAGTAATTTAGAAGAAAAAGTGTTCATAAGAGTAAACAAATATTGCAGTACACACTAAAACATACCTTTTTTACTAAGATCAATGGCAGCTTCTAAAAGCACTTCTAATTCTCCTTTTGGTAAAACAGGAACCACCCATCGAGGCCTAACAATTATGATAAAAAAAGATGGTTTACTTTTTTCATGCTAATGAGTTTGACAAAGTCATCTACTATAATTAGTACTATTAAAGTGAATAAACATGACAACTACATTCAGAAACATTTTAAAAACTGGTAAATATTTTCATTATGAAATGAAGACACATTTATGTTACCTGAATACACAATTTTTAGCAACTGTCAAATTAAATAAAGCAATGACAGTTAACTGTATGAAAAGACTTTAAAAAATAATCTTGGCTTATCCATTAAATTTATTATACTTTCAAGGACTATTAACTATTGTTAATAGGAAAACGAGGTTTGGTTTGGATCAGTAAACATGAGTGAAAACACTTCTGAACAACAGTAAAATATATGATCACACAAGTAAAAATAAAGTAAATAATATTTTCAGACAAATGCCTGAATTTTGCTCTACTCAAAACACAGATTTCAAAAGGAGAGGAAAGGAAAGATAATCCATCTACTGGTCAGGATGCAGGAGAAATAGAACTGTATGCAATTAAGGTGAGTCAAATGTACATATATGTCTCACATGTGCAAGTTCCTTATAAAATCACCATAAACTTAAAAAACAACAAGTTCTGGTCTTCCAAAGTACAGCATGATAGCTACAGTCCACAGTAACTGATACATACAAATTACTTCAAAAGAAGAGCTGATAGGCTCCAAATAAAGATAAGGAATTCATAGTTTAATTGCCTGGATGATTGTGTACTAAAATACTGCATTCTAACCTTACAAAAGAACACATCAAGAACCCTATTTTACTGGGACCTGACACAATGCTTTAAGTGAATCAGTGGAAGGAAGACCTCTCTGTACCTTTTTTTCTCTGTAAATCTGACTTTCCAACAAAAATTATTTTCTTAGTATATTTTAATAAAAATGTTTAAGCCTAAAATAAAAGCCAATAAAGCAGGGTCTGTATCATGGCTCAACAGACTAACCCTCCACCTTCAAGTGCAGATGTCCCGTATGGGAGCTGGTTCATGTCCTGGCTACTGCACTTTTAATCCAACTTCTGCCTATGACCTGAAAAAGTAGCAGAGAATGGCCCAAATCCTTGGGCCTGAACCCAAGAGGGAATCTTGGAAGAAGCTCCTGGATCCTGGATCCTGGCTTTAGGTGAGCTCTGCTCCAGCCGTTGCACCAAAATGAAACAGCAGATGCAAAATCTTTCCTTCTCTTCTCTCTGTAAATCTGTGTTTCATGTAAAAATAATTTAAATAATAGTGATGCAATGGAGAAAGCCTTTAAGCTACATTAAAGACCAATGAAGGACAGTTGTGGTATAGTAGTAGAACTGTTGCTTGAACATGAGAACCAATTCAAGACTTGGTGGTTCAATTTCTGATCAAACCTTGCATTAGTAATGGAAAAAGCAGGATGACGGTCCAAGCCTTTTGGCTCTGAAAGTTTCATGGACTAATCATAGCCATTGTAGATACCCGGAAAGACAGGCAATAAGATCACTATACTTTCTCTACCACTACAACTGCCTTTCAAAAAAAACAAAACAAAACAAAAAAAACTAATTCTGGAAGAAAAAAACGACATGGAGAGCCATCTCTCTCTCCTCCTTCCTTCCTATCTCTGTTTCTCTCTCAGGCATGTAGGTCCAAACTGACTGATCAGCCTAATAAATCCCAGAAAAAAAATTCCTCCCTTAATCCTTGTAATGAGACAATAAACTCCATCAGATACTTAGAATTTACTAATACCCACACTTCTCACTTCTCTCTCTTCTTCTTCTCTCTTTTGTTTATACAAAAAGAATTTACTACCTAGTAGTAAAACCCCTAAAAATGTATACTAAAATAAACAAATGGGTTGGCACTGATGCGTAACAGGTTAGGCTTCAGCCTGCAAACCATGGAGACCAGAACAAACTGGATAACTCTCACAACCATGCTTTGACAGTAGCTGAGTGAGTGCAGATCCTATGTGGACTATGTCAGCCAGTAGACTTTGGAAGATTTCCTTACCATTGCAGCAACACAATTACCAGCATTTTAGAATTTTAATACCACTTAACGCAGCAACTCTGCAACATACTCCACATCAGGGATCCTAGAATGACATCCAGTGTTCATCTCATATCCCTGGACTCTGGTGTGGTTTGGCTGCTGGGAGAAGACCTCTCTTTCACTCTTCTCCTTTCCTCCAGATATAGGAAGTATTGGACAGAAGATAGTTGTCTTAACCACCTTTCCCCATTTCTTGACCCTTCCCTCCCTCATTGGTGGTCCACATGGACATATACCCTTCTCAAGCATGGAAAAAACCTAAAAAATGAAACTGTTACTAAAAAAAAATTTCATGGCAGAATTCCAAAGAATCAAACAGTATCTTTAATATGTCATTTGTTTTTGAAACTGTAACAATAACTAAATATAAACAATGAGTAACAAAGTAAGGCTATGAGTACAATGTTAATAAGCTACTTCAAACTGAAGGCAAAAGCAACAGGCCAGGTAGTCAGCAAGCTGATTATCTGTTTGTAGTGCCAGTTCAAGTTGTACATGTTCTACCTCTGATCCAGCTCCTTGCTTATGACTTGTGAAAGCAGCAGAGGATGGCTCAAGTTCTAAAGCCTCTGCATTCAAGGGGAGATCAGGAAGAAGCTCCTGCCTTTGGACTGGCTCAGTTTCAGCGACCCCTGTCACACCATTCACTGGGAAGTGAACCAGTGAGTGAAAGATCCCCTTTGTCTCTCCTTTTGTCTCTGTAAAATCTTTTCAAATAAAAGCAAATTAAAAAATTTTTTTAACGCAAAGACAAGTATTGTAAGATCACATAAAGCTGCCTCCTGCAACGCTAAAATCCAAAGAAATGTCAGTTTATATTCAAATTTAAATACAGTTCTCTGCTAGTTCCTCAGGAAAAGCAATGTAAGAGTCCAATTTTCTAGACCCATGGTAAGAGATCCAGATGAAGTCCTGGCTCCTGGGTTCAGCCTGGTTCGGTCATGGCTGCTATAACCATTTGTGGAGAGAAACAGCAGATGAAAGATCTCTCTCTCTCTTGTGTTCAACTGATTTTCAAGTAATAACTGATTTCTTTTTAAACAGACAAGAAGATCTTCCATCTGTTGATTCACTTCCCAAGTGGCTCCAAAAGCCAAAGCTGAGCTGACCAAACCCTGCAATGAAAAGCATCTTCCAGGTCTCCCCAACAAAAGGTCCCAAAGTTTTGGGTGTCCTCACCTGCCTCCCCAGACCTCAAGCAGGGAGCTGGATAGGAATCAGGACTGCCGGGATTACAAATCAGCACCCATCTGTGATCCTGGGGCATGCAAAATGAGTACTTTAGCCACTAGGCTACTACACCAGGCCATAAATCTTTTAGAAAATAATGAAGATGGGCCCGGCGCGGTGGCGCAGTGGTTAAGGTCCTCCCCTTGCACGCCCGGGATCCCATATGGGCGCCGGTTCTAATCCCGGCAGCCCTGCTTCCCTTCCAGCTCCCTGCCTGTGGCCTGGGAAAGCAGTCGAGGACGGCCCAAGGCTTTGGGACCCTGTGCCTGCGTGGGAGACCTGGAAGAGGCTCCTGGCTTCGGATTGGCATAGCATCGGCCGTTGTGGCTTACTTGGGGAGTGAATCATCGGACGGAAGATCTTCCTCTCTGTCTCTCCTCTCTGTATATCCGCCTTTCCAATGAAAAATTAATAAAAATAAAATCTTTAAAAAAAAAAGAAAATAATGAAGATAATAAGATACTTTTGTGAGACATCTTTTAAGCAAGTTTCATGATAAGTAGTTTGCTTTCCTTGTTTACTATATTCATTAACAGAAAATTAAAAATAAACATACCTGTTGATCATGTCATCCAACTTGACCAGGTCAGTATGTGGAAAGGCAGGTTCCTCATCTTGCTGTGGTGGGGCATCACCCTGACCATGTTCATCTGGGGGTGTTGTTGAATTTTCATTCATGGAATCAGTTGATGAGGTCTCCAATAAAATACAAACATTCCAGATTTAAATCTGTGTAAAAGGCACTCTACATTTAGAACTTTAGACATCAGCACAAAGCAAAATGTTTTAATTGTTGTAAACATGAAGTTTACACATAATAAATTTAGCAAAATGGAACTACAAGGGTTATCATTTTGTTATTTAGGGGAGTTATCTTAAGAAAACTCCATGATTACAATGACAATAACTTCGGGGATAAATAATAAGAGGGAAACAAAAAAAGGGAGAAAAGCAAGAGAGAGATAAGGGATAATGTTCTATGCATATAAATCTGTATCAAGAGAAAAAGAATAAATAAGCAATAAAGAAATATCAAGCAAATCCAATAAATGATCTCTATTTACATACCAATTTGAATAATCTTTTAAATAATAATTATTAAACATTTGGGAAAATATGGTATTAAACAAATCTTATGTGCTAAAAGGATATTTTTCATATATTGCAGACTATAAAAGCATTTATATTGGTAGTACCACAGTACAGTATCAATTAATGAAGTTATAACTAAGGAATATGCTTCTACAACATTTTCAGCTAACATAAATAGATTTAAGCTTTAAATTATAAATTATTAAGGATAATCAATTATATTACCCCACAATAAAATTTAAAAAATAAAATTATGACATCACAAGGATAATTTTTCTTACAGCTGTTTACAAATATATTAGTAAATTCAAGTCCAAAAAGTTAGTACCCAGTGGAGTTTATTTCAAGTATTCTTCTTAACTTGGCTCATTTGGCATGAAATTTTTTTTAAGATTGACTTATTCTTATTAGAAGGGTAGATGTATTCTTATTAGAAGGGCAGATGTATTCTTATTAGAAGGCCAGAGAGGAGGAGAGACAAAGAAGATCTTCCATCTGATGGTTCACTCCCCAAGTGGCCGCAACAGCTGGTACTGTGCCGATCCGAAGCCAGGAGCCAGGTACTTCTTTCCAGATCTCCCACACGGGGGCAGGGTCCCAAGGCTTTGGGCCGTCCCCAGCTGCCCTCCCAGGGCACAAGCTGGATGGGAAGTGGAGCTGCCAGGATTAAAACCAGTGGCCATATGGGATCCTGGCGTATTCAAGGCAAGGACCTTAACCACTACATTATCATTCCAGACCCATACGGAATTTTTATTTCAGTTTACACAAGTCTGTACTATATAGGACTTTTTCCCTTCATTTATACAGATCCGCAAGTTCCCAAAAAACTCATTTAGTGTATCATGAATTTGAAGTAGGCACCCAGGTATTATATATCACTGGGGAATAAGTGTTTGGCCAACTTGATATACTTTAATGCTCAGTTGTGACAGTTGAAAATCATTAAAATCTAAATTGGAGCTTCTAAAACAGCATACTTAAAACAGAAGTTTTATGTTTTTTATAGAGGAAGAGAATCTGGAGCTTATTCAACTTTTTATATTCAATGTACTATATTTGATACAGCTACTAGAGGGAAAAACGTTAAAAATTCAAAAATGGAACAGGAAAAGGGTAAGTGATCTATTTAGCGGATAAAAACAACCACATTTAAATACTTAGGCTCCTGGCTTCAGCCTTGGAAAACAAGAAGCATGAAGCAACAGACAGAATGAAGCACTGGATGTAATATCTTTATCTCTCTGCCTTGAGTATAATATACATTGAATTAAAATCGATAGAACAAAAAGCAATAAGTAATCACTGAAGTTCAAATATCCTATAATGAATTCTATCACAAGGGAAACGAAAGCAAAATAAAATAACCACAATCCTTAAAAACTTAAAAGATTAACAGTGTGTACATGTCTCTGCATGTACACACGTAGATGTATATTTATGTACACACACACGTCAAGCTGATGACTATTTTCTATTTTTACTTCTAGACTAGTTAAAGATTATAAAGAATCCACCTATGTTTTGCTATGCTCAGATATTTTAATTTTATCTGCAATTGGAAAAAAAAGCCTCCAAGATAACAGAATTATTTCCACCTCTTTGTTTTTCCCTTTTATATTTCAATCTTCTCACAATGAACATAAGCAAACCACTGTTAACATTAGGATACTGGACCTATAGAATGTGTTACTTCAGAGGTCTTTCATCCTCCTTCTTTGAAATGTTCTGGAACTATAAATCATAAAGACAAAAATTCCTTTGGGTAGACACATATGTTTAGAAGTACTTTCTAGTAACTGATAAAAAAGTTACTGGGAAATGAATGTCCCCTTTAATTGTGGTTAACCTTTCAGATAATGTAGCTGGCACAGCAACTTTGTAGGAAATTCAATAGCAAAATAACTATGTATCTATCTTCAACTTCAAATTCTAAGAGATTGAGAGTCAATCAATATCTTTTGTCATTACAAGCAATAAAACCAGAAAGAATAATTACTTAATTTCTCTTAACAAGTATGATGGGAGAAAAAATAAACTAGTAGGAAAATAAAAAGAGATTCTATTTACCAGAGAAGCATGCAAGTACACTTGGAAATTAATGTTCACTTCATCCTAACAAAGTAGAAAAGGCCAAATAAACAACAAAACTTCCTATAACAATTTGAGAATCAGATAGGCAGGATAAACTACTGTCAAAACTGGAATGGAAAAAGAAAATAACATATTTTGCAAAAGAGAAGCAAATCACATTTTCATAAAAATTCAGCAATAAGATACAACAGCACATAAGAAAAACAATTTACCTATAAAGGAACCCTAAGCAGACTTAGAACTGACCCCCTCAGAAGAAACTCAATAGACCAGAGGAGAATGGAGTGACATGCTCCAGATTCTAAAAGGAAAACATTATTTGCCCAACATAATGTATCTAGTAAGCTTTCCCTTGTTCTTAAAGATGAGAAACTACTACCACGGCAAACAAAAACTCAAAAGCATCACCTCTATTGGACCTGTCCTATAAATGTTGTTAAAAGATGTCCTACTGACAAAAGAAATAGCATCTACCAAAACAAAAGGCAAATGTGCAGAGTCATCCCAATAAAATGACAAAAGATTAAATAAAGCTATAACCAACGTATTGCTAAAATGATAGGACCAAACTGCTACCTATCCATATTAACCCTCAACACAAATGGATAAACTCATCAACAGCATAGATTAGTGGACTAGATCAAAAAACAAAAACCACATCTCACCAAAAAGATCAGGGGAAAAAGGAAAAAGTGAAAGTATGGAAAAGGATATTCCAGGCTAGTAGAAAGGAAAAAATAAGCTGGCATATCAGATAACATAAACTTTTATGTGAAAACATCAAAAAATAATTATAAAAAAGAATATCACATAATAATCAAAGGATCACGAAGAGATTACCCTAACAAATGTGCATACACCAAATGTCCATGCACCTAGCTTCTTGAAACAAATACATATGTATTTAATAGGAGAAATAGATTCCAATATAATAATAGTGGGGAATAGTAATACACCATTAACATAAATGGACAGTTTGACAATACAGAAAACAAGAGCTTACTTAGACACTAGAGCAAATGGACTTAATTGATATCTACCAAATTTTTCCCACAACCCCCAGACACAGAATACTTTAAAAAAAAATCAGTACATGAATCTTTCTCCAGGACTGACCACATTACAGGCCACAAAACAAGCCTCAGCAAATTTAAAAAATCAAAATTATACCATGCATCTTTCCTGATCATCAAGCTAGAGACCAGTAAGTCAAAATATCAAAAATAACATGCAAATACATGGAGACTGGATAATATTCTACTAAATGAGCAGTGAGGAAATTAAATGGGTAATAAAAAATTACTTGAAACAAATGAAACCAACACAACATATCAAAACTTACAGGACATGACCAAGCACTAGCTTGAGGGAAGTTAATCTCAGCTAATGCCTACCTTTAAAATTTTAGAAAAGTTCAGTGAGTTAATCTTAAAGCTGAAGGAGCTAGGAAAACAATAGCAAAGCAATCCCAAGATCAACACAAAAAATTAACTGACTAAAATAAAGCAGAAAATACACCAAATAGAGGCCAAAGAATTGAACAACATAAGATGAATGAATCTGAGATCTGTTCTTATAGAAAAATCAATAAAACAGAATCCATACTAGATCAACCAATCAAAAAAAAAAAAAAAGAAGGGAAAAGAATCAAATCAATAACATTGGAGATGAAAAGGAAATAAAAGGTACCTCAGCCTCAGATATACACAAAATCATATAGGAACTATTACAAGCAACTGTAAGTCAAAACATCAGAAGACACAGAAGGATGGATAGATTTTCAACACATACAATTTACCAAAATTGAATTATAATGCAATTCATAATCTATCTTTTTTTCTTTTTTAAATGCATTTTTTAATAATTGGAAGGTCAGAGATACAGAGGGGAGAGATAGAGAGGAAAACCTTCCATCTGCTGATTCACTCCCCAAGTGGCCACGACGGCTGGAGCTGAGTTGATTCAAAGCCAGGAGCCTGGAGCTTTCTTCCAGGTCTCCCACATGGGTGTAGGGTCCTCAGTTGCTTTCCCTGGCCACAAGCAAGGAGCTAAATGTGAAGTGTGGTGCCAGGATATGAACCAGTGTCCATATGGAATTCTGGCATGTACAAGGTGAGTACTTAAACTACCAGGTTACTGTGCCATACCCACATTTAACAAGCTAAATGAACCTAGAACCAGTACTGAGATTGAATTGGTAGTTAAATCCCTCCCAACCAAGAGAAGACCTGGACCAAACATCTTTTCTACCAAATATTTCATTATGCTAAACTCTACCAAATGTTTCAATAACTTACCCCAATTTAAAACAAGCTACTCTAAGCAACAGAAAGATAGGCAACGCCTCCAAACTTTTTCTGTGAAGCCAATATTGCCTAAACACCAAGGCCAGACAGACACAACAGAAAAACATAACTACAGACTGATCTCGATGAACATTTATGCATAGATACTCAATAACATACTAGCCAACAGGAGTTGGCAGGCTGATCATTCACCCACACCAGGTT